CTAAAAAAGAATTTCGTCAGATCATGGCTAAGAATCTGGATCAGATTATACAGATTTTCACAATTGTTTACAACAAAAAGCTTAGATTGTCTATGCTAAGAATAACATTAAAAGTGTTGCAATACCTTTCATAAGTCATTGAGTTCCTAGAAGATATAGGACATAAACAAAAAAATTGCCAGGAGCAGTTATCATTTCACACCTCTTCAAGGCATTCATGTATTATAATTGGTTCGTGTATAAAGAAATTAACGAGTTTAAACGTTTTGTTCTGTTTATAATTCACAATGGTTTATGAATCTAATGAGGTTGTATAAGCATCACAAGTTGATATCTCAAAGGTATTCTAGTCAGTTTCTTCAGTTAACCTTTGATACAACAGCACGATAATCACTTAAAACTAATAACATCCTCGGCCAATTATCTATAATCATGCATATATAAAATATAGCTGTCAAAACTTGCGACCTGTCTGGAAATCAGAAGGGAAATTATTGTTGCTTTGCATCTTATTGGTGTATAAATCCTTTACCTATAAAAAAGGGTTTTTTTTCTCTGTTTCTCTAATATATATGTACATGTATTTTTTTTAAAATCAGCCCACTACTCGTTATTTACACATTTTGTAATTTATTTGTTCGGGAATTCAAATATGTGTAAAATAACATAAAATGAATAGGCTACATTACATGTAATAAGATATAAAGACAGGCTACCGTGCGATCTCAACATGGCACTATACATATCTAACTAAGACGCAAAAATACAGCTGCCAACCTGTCATCCCTAATGGAATTTAAAAGAAATGAGTTTCTATTGACAGCTAACTTGTCTTGCCAGAACCAGAGGCTATTTGTAATTTGTATAAGAAAACCTATTCGAGTCACATATCCTGCTGACAATTGCGTTTGATCCCAGAGGAAAAGGTTATTTATGACATAGTTGACTATGATATAGATCAGATAGATAGAAATACCATGCTTTGTTCTTGGTAGATTTAACCTACATATTACAAGTTACTTAATTGACAGCAACTACCACTGTCCTTATTCAACTAACTAACCGTATAGTGGTCGTGATGGAATCAAGAATGCTATTAAAATTGGCGACACTTTTAGAATCATTTTAGTGCATTCCTTGAGAAAAAAGCCTGCACCTGTCTAAAAGATGTCAATTGATGCGCATGGCCTTGATACCAAAAATTGTACACGGGGTTTCTTTGTTGGAAAGAACAAAAACTAGAGACTATTATCGATAATTATGATTGAAACATTGAAAAATACTGTATGACTATAATATCAAAACAAACAGAGAAGAGACAAAAACGCTGTAGAATTGATATTATATCACACAGTTTGTGTTTGTGAAGCGTTGATGAGATCTGTTATCAGTTTACTTCTACAGAAAAATAACATTTATTTGCTGATATTCATTACTGTTATTGTATAAATGCACAATACCTTGTGCAATCGGTAGAAATGGAATAGACTGGAATAGGGTCTGGCTATTTAGTTTACTGTTTGTTTTTCAATGTAATTGTAATAAATAAGACAAATTGCCGTGACAATCAAGAATTGAACTTTGATAGATATTTCTTATATTATTGATGAAATGTACGAGAAAAAGGCTTAATCGGGTGCACAAATAAATGTGATAGAATGGTAAAAGACAAGTGAAAGAGCCATGTAGTCATTTTGATAGGTAAATATTAAATTGTGAAGAACTTTTCGCCTTTTCTTTCTTTCAACTTACGTCTTCTTGATCAGGTTGTGTTTGACCAAGTTTTTATTGTCACACTTTGCTAGTGGCAACCAATCTTTATAAATGAAATCTTATTAAGTATAAATATTTTCCACACGATATAACATGGACAACGACACTTCAAGAACACTGGGAATAGTCATCTTTCATCCTGTATCAATCAATATTTCTTTAGAAATTCTCTTACTATTTTAAGAAGGCCTATATACTTCAAGTTCCATTTATCATACTGTTGAAACTTTATGCCAGTTGTCAATTTTCTCGTGGATGCTTGTTACATTAGTAATTTAATATGTACCTTCAATGTTTTCTTCACCGCAGCAGTAAACCTTTACTGAGATGTTCTGGATCCATTGGTAAAGCTTTGCCGAAGTAATATACTTAGATCATACGAATGCTGGCGATATCGCACTTGAAGAAATAGTATATAGGTTTTCTAAACTTTTTATGTTTATCAGGGTCACTGATATCATCGATTTGTATTCCAATTTTCAATCAGACGTCTGATGTTCTTGCAATTATATTAAAAGTAAGCGTTTTGTGACATCACTATCACTAAAGCTGCTATTTACATCTAAGGACCATTGTGATAGTAGCGTTATAAAAAGTATAATTTAAATGGAATTACTGGAAAAGTCGTCAGAATGAAAATTGGAATGGTGCAAATCGACGTTGTCATTGTTACACATAAAATTTCAGAAAACCTCTTTACAATCCCTTTAAATATACATCTACGCTCGTTCACATTTAATGTACCAGACAATATAATATTGGGATGGTTGGCCTTGTCAATATTCTTTGTGTTTTTATTAATGTAGTTTACAGTATAGGTTAATAATGATGTCTATATCGTACAATATAAGTCTGAATTTCATTATCCTAACGACTTACTTCATCTAATACCAGACAATGTAGTATATTTCTAATTAAAATATCAATTATATCACAATAAGACCTGCTGAAACGGATAATCTGGTTTAAATATACATAATATCTTGGAAGTAGATTGGCCAATAATTATGCATCATCCTCCTTACAAAGTTTAAATCATTTCTTATCCAACCACATTCATGAGTCCACTCTACTCCACTAAAATAATGATTTATATTTATGGGTGTCACCAGAACGATCTGGTCCATCTGGTGCTCTATCTAGGTACAGAATAAGAAGAAGAAGAAGAAGATTCATTCAGTTACTTTAAGACAATATGTCTACAAATATATCGACGATATACGAATTGTAACAAACAATCCCATGTGCAAAATAATGTTTAAAGGTGAAAAATAAATAAATTAGTATAGATAGAATTAATCTGAGTGTAATTTAACATAACAATAAAACTAGTGATTTGAATTGTGTACAGAATATACAAATATCATAGAACCTTGGTTTCAGGATTTCTGATCGCCTTACATTATGTAGACAAAGAACGAACTATATTTGGATCATGGCTGTTTAACAATCTGATAACATTTTCTTCCGGTGGGCATTTGTTTAGCCATGTGGGTAGGAAATTTATCCTGAGATCTTTAAGTATAGGGCAGATTAATATAAAGTGTAATTCGTCACCTAATTGTTAAGCATTAAAAATATTCGATCTTCTCTTGTAACATCATGTTGGCGGCCTTGTTCAATCTCTAAGTGGTGAGTTGAACATCTTAGATTAACAAGACAAAAAACGAAGTTTATGAGTCAAAGAACTAGATAATTAAAATTCAGCATAAATACTAGATTTGATGTTGTGGTAGAATTAACAGCTAGGGGATTGAGATATGAAATCCTGCCATGTTTGAAAATTTATATCTCTAATGCGTTCATCCACACAGGACCAAAACCAGAACTTAATAAAATAATACGTACAGATGAGCACCAGTTGAACATACCATGTATATCGTATTCGTGTAGCATTCGATAACACAATTTTGGCAATCTACCGTCGCTCATACTTTGGATGGTAAGGAAATTTGTAACCGGTTTAATAATTTACATAAAGCTCTAGTCTATCACACTCTGCTCTTTATTTGTTATTTATTTACAGAATGGTGTTTATTTAAAAAAAATTGATTAGTAAGCTTCTAATTGCTACTAATTGCCACTGGGAATTTAATGAATCTGATTACAAACGCCGTATTTTTCTTATACTTAAAAAGAATATCTACTAATTACACAAATACGCATTGATTGAAAAGATGTGTTCATCAAAAATACTCATTGGTTGGAAAAATATTTTTTTTGAGAAGCATATTTTAAAACAAAATATATCTTTCTGAATATGTGTAAAGAAACTCGTCAAACTTGCATATATCGATATCACTATCCATAGGTTATGTGTTTGTAATGATCGTTTATCGGAAGTCGAAGAAAAAAACTAATCTAGACTGTACATATACTAAATAATACTTAATCTTTTTCAATGGAGCAAACATTAGTTCAAAGGAATCTTTTTAAAGAAGGTGCATAAAGAATACATGTTAATGATATTTTAATCTCGTTCAATTGAGGTGTGGAAACATGGATTTGGAGGATTTGGGTGTGATAAAAAATCCCGTTTTTTGAGACTGAGGTACGATTGGTCCAACGAATGGCGAATCTGTCCCTTTAATATCTAATTAATAAGATAAAAAGTGCTATCTTATCAAATTGTCAAGTTATAATTCATAAACAATCGCTATAAGAGATCAAATTTGTGTACTTCGAGACAATATGGCTAAAAATATAATAAGCAAACAGTTGATTGTCTCCCGTTACAGTTAATGATCAAATATTTAAAATTAATTGTTTATCGATATTCCAATCTCTTAAATCGGAAGTAAAACGGATATAATAATTATATGCACACCTTTACCTGTATATTATCCGATTTCTACTAGAGAGTCTATTGTTAAGTTACTATTGTTGTAATAATTCAATTTACTTGGAAAAACCTCTCAGTGCATCGAGATTCGATATTACTAGTTAGATCGTCCAGCATTTAAGCGATTAATCAACAAGAAAGCAGGGTCGTAGCTATCTCTTTCGTAGTACCATCTCCCTATCACTTAGACAAACAGAAATAAGCATTTTGTGCGTAACATTTGATGAAAATGAAATACTTTATGTCTGTTCTTGTTATATTTTATGCTCCATTTTCCGAATTATTTGTTTAATTTTGTCTAAGATTAAATAAGAGTTGGGTTTTTTAGTAGTGAAATTAGCTCTGTAAACATTCTGTAAACACATTTTTTTTTAACTATTTTCAGATTTGGAACTGGATCTACTTGCTACTGGTGATAATATCAGCAGGCATATTCTGTTTAGAAACCATCGCTTTCCGGGTGCCTAAAAGTCAAATTGATGGTACCAATTCAACAGAAGTCTTCAATGTCAGCAATCCTAAAATACGAGAATTTATTTCCACTGAACTCCATCCCGCCTTAATGATTATCGAGATCATCTGTTTAATTGTGTTTACGTTAGAATTGGCCTTACGTTCACTGTGCTGCCCTGCTGGGACAGCATTCTTAAAGTCATTTTTGAATATCGTCGATATTTTGACGGTGTTGGTCGGATGGACAGCAGTGATCGTTGATATGTTTTTCTTCTTTACAGGAGAATTAGAAACGTTATTATTGGCTAATGTTTCATTCGGACTGCGGTGCTGTTATATATTGCGTCTCTTCAGGTTCTTCCGATTGAAGGAGAAATATATCGGGTTGAAGGTCATGTGGCTGGCGATTTTACAGTCAAAAGACGAATTGATGCTTTTAGTCATCTCCTCGTTAATTCTTTCCACCATATTAGGCTCCACCACATATTACTGTGAATTGGAAAATCCCGTGTTTTCATCCATACCACAGGCAATATGGTGGGCCATTATTACCATGACGACTGTGGGATATGGTGATATATATCCTATATCACCTATAGGGAAATGTGTGGGTACAGTATGTTCGCTCTGTGGTCTGTTGATAATCTCCATGCCTATAGCCATTATAGCAGCTAATTTCAACCAATATCACCGCCAGAATAAACAATTACAGTGTATCCTTAATGATCGATACCGATCACAGATTAAAACTAAGAAAGAGACTCACATTAGTGGCTGTTTATAACCGGGGTCGTATCGACCAAGACTGTAAATAGTCATCAATGACCAAAGGGGGGATAACTAAGTGCTTTAACTGCCTTGAAATGATTTGTAACTATAGCTTTAATGAAAGGAGTATAACTTTGTATATTATGTTCGTTTAATCGACTGATAGAACTCAGAATGAACTACGAGTAGTACTTATTGCAATCAAAAACGTTTCGTTAATCCATTAATATTTGACAAGACCTGTTCTTCTGAAAATTGAAATGAAATTGGATTATTATTACACTCGTCGTTTTGTTCAATAAAAACAATGTGCAACGGGAATGTGACAGTCATATCACATAGTATAAATATATATATTTAGATTGCTTTAGCTTTAATGATTGATTAAGTGAACAGAATATATGAATTATTGTAAATAATTTTAATACTGTATAATCAGCTGTTACTGTTTAAATCTGCAAAGTTTACAATGTTTATTATTATTATTCTATTAAAGTTATTCATCTGTATATGCAGCGTTGATCATTACTATTATTTCGTAATCCTCTAGTCATTTCATCTTGACGCAGTGCTTCCCAACCTTTTTCAGCCTTCATATCCCTGGAGCAATCACCTGGACCTTTCACACAACCCAAAATTTGTTTTATCCATATTTCCAGCATATGATAATGTGAGGTGCTCTCTCAATTGCAAATGAGTTCTTCTCCTACACCAGTTGGCCACATCCCCGACACCCTAGTCCCTACGTGGGGAACTGGGATATAACGTTTCAACATCCAACAAGATCTAAAGAGTCTAGCTCCCTGGTTCACTGGCACGAGTTACACCCCTTTGACGAAAAGTGATTCTGCATAAGAAATATTGTTGACTTTTATTCAATTGGTAATTTCCGCCATTAGCACGTGCAAATTGTGTTCCGGTGGTACGTTCTGGTTCGCGATATTATAAGTTGTCAAATGAACAGTATTGTTACTTCCCTTCCCTCCGACAGAAATTATTCGTAGTACGCGAATGACATGCCCGGATACAAGGAAAATCTAAAGAAAAATGTGGTAGTTTCATCATCTTTACAAATAGATAGTCTAGCTCACCGGTCTCCGATATCTAAATTATCAAGTTTTGTAGACACGAGTTGCACCCCTTATTTTTATTTATTGTTTTACTTAAGATCACCTACTACAAGCGGTATCCTACATATTTACAACTGTAGATAGAATTTTGAGGGAAGAATTTACAATTAATGGAATATCTCATAGATAGTAACGCCTATTGTGGCTATGTGATTATTTTATATGTAAGTATCGGTAATTCTATTTCATCATTAATCATTAAATAGATGAAAATGTGTGTTGATGGGAATTTGTCGGATGAATAGATTGATTACATACTGTAAAAGCATTTATAACATGTAACATGTGTCAGTTGATTTAAAAAAAAAAAGAGAGAATAACAAAAATAAGACCACTAGTCTTGCTGGTTATAGTGCTACAGGTTATATAGTTGAAGATCCCTCGACAGTCTGCATTCGAAAAAGAGAAGCTTGATGACAATGTCTTGGCAAAATTTAGTTAACTACACACTGCATGGCGTTACCCGTCTTCATTTACCCAATTTAGTTCAGAAAAATAGGACGTAAAACCATAGTCTATTTAATTCCATTGCTATTTGCTATGAATACATAACCATGAATTATTTATGAATTTCTGATATTTATCAAATATGTATAATCTACCATAATAATATTTTCACGGTACAGAAATTACTACGCTAGTCACGTTTAGTTTGCAATCAATACATCTCGTATATTTTATGTTACTTGCCACAGAAAATTCTATTTGAGACACTTACAGTTCTCTGTAACTTCTAGCATCCATGTAATTTTTCAAAAGAGTAGAGTATAGAGTGGGCCGACTTTACCCTCTCCCCACCCCCGCCTTCACCTGTGGCTACTGCTCGGCCCTATCACCTGCTTTATCCTAAAATCGCCATTGCTCAGAGAGGATTCGATAATATATCTTGCAATTTGTATATAAATATTTTTGATTCTCTGGGAAATTTCATCAATAAATGCTTATTCATTAACAACTCATCGATAATACCAAACATAACCAAATCCATTTTCTTCCCGAGCAGATTTTACAAATCCAGTGATAGTCACTTTTACCCTTAGTGAAACATTTATACATATCATCGTAGTATTTAATAATATGTATTTTCCGTCTTAAGCTCACATAAGAAATTTACCCAATTCAAAATCAAGCAAGTAAAGGCAGATCATTTCATTATCCAGTCGATGTCTAAAAACTTTTTCTTTGCATTTTGTGTCTTACAGAAGTTATCAATCAATTAATAATTCTGACTATAATGAATCGATAGAAATAGTTTTTAACAACAATATTCCTGGTTAATTGGATATTCTATTAAAACATAATCATATCAACAAATCAATTGAATTATTGGTTCCATTTTCGTCATCGTACCAATAATTATTTTGATTGTTCCTATTGATTTATGTAAAATAATAGATAATCATATAATAACAAATAGAACACTAGAATGGAATAGTTATAAATCTATATAATGACTAGTGTATATGGTATATATTCCATATAATACCTTGACATCATTGGACACTATTCTTATATCACGGAAGTTTGTAAGTGCAGCGACTTGATTGGTTTGTAAGCTAGCAAATTCAGCTATGTTATTCTCTAATATACAAAAAAGTACCCTTCAAATCAAATGACGCGTCATGTTGTCATCACAAAAATATTTCGAGTTTCCACTAGATGATTTCTCGATATCATATCATAATTAACTTTAGTCCAACTTCAAGCGAGGGCAGCCTTTTTATAAACAAACAATTCAAACTAGAACTGTGAACAGCTCCGAGCGTGGCACGAAGCCGTTGATGTTTAGACCTTTTGAAACTTTTAGCCTGTTAGCTTTCAACCTCGTGGCTTTACTATTAGCAACAAGAAAGTAAAACTCTCGGGTATCTGTATCAAGTATATAATAACATTCCAGAAATGTCACCTCAAAATTCTCAAGTTATTCTCAAAGAATAATATATAAAAGGTTAGTCGTTAGAGGCGTAAAAAATCATCGTTAACATAAGCGAACAAATACAAGCGAATTTGTTATGCGATTTTAAAATTCGCCGCGATTGGTTTGGCCTAACGAACATAGATCTGGCATAGATTCACCCGAAGGAAATGTCAAAGAAATAATTGTATGAGATTAAAAATAGCCTACCATTTGTAAATAAGAAAACTTGATTGTAATGATCGTTTACATCGTTTCACGCCCAGCTAACTGGGCACGATGATGCGTTTAGGAGGCATGTAGTTTCGAGGCATGCTCATCGACAGATGACAATTTCAGAATGAATTTCGATTTGAAAGAACCTGACGCCAGAGTTCTGCACTGTACTCTACGACCCCACAAATGTGTTTCCGGCCCATGCGACCCTTTGAGTGTGTGCAAGCTACCCAATTTTAGATAAATAGATATAAATAACATATTATGAATATTTTCAAGTATAATTTAACGTTTTAGATCATGAAAATTTTGCAAACTTTCCTATCAGATCGTTGCAAATCGGTTTGGCCAACGTCTAGGTGACGTAAGTTTTCATGATATATTATGGTTCTTTCTTTCTAAACAGCCATCACTTCCGTCACTTATTTCATATCCCTTTCTAAATAAAAACTATACTAATTAGTCAATATTTATGAAAATGAATTCAATCAAAAACAAATAACTGAAGAGTATTATTCCTTTTTCTACGTAAACACAAGTATTTAAAGGGACATTTCGCTTTCTTGTAAAAAAGTTTTCAATAACAAAAACGTTGTAAATTATACCTGAAAATATTTCTAAAGTATGCTATTTCTATCTATGTAACTTCTTGATTGAAATGAATTTGTTTTAAAGGGGTTAAAAACGGAGAGTACTAATTGTCAATTAGGCGTTTATATTACTAAAATCCGTACAGTAGCTTTTTAAAAAGCATAACGAAATATCTTTGGCGCTGAAAAATTAATGGCTGGATTTTTTTAGTTAAAACTTTCAAATTCGTTAAACGGCACATTTCTTTAGATTTCGTATATAGTATTAACACTTTTTTCGATCTACTAAAAAAGCGAAATGCCCCCTTAAAAGCGTCCAACTTTCGAGATAACTGCTATACAACATAGACACGAACGATGGAACGAGTTGGTTTGCTTGCGATCTTGGCTATATGTTTGGTTCTTGCAAATTGCAAATACATTGAAGGTAATATTTATTTAAAATGCTTTCAATGAACTGAATTTCACAGAGTTCCTTAGATTCATAAGATATGCTCAGTTTTCAAATGCCAAGTCTCCGGCTTAATAGGGCTGTTAAATTCAAATGTCATTTTTAGAAACCGTATAATTGTGAATATAATGCACAAGAGTGTATAATGCGCACCCTTTTCCTACATTCAACATAATTAAAGATGCTCCGATCAACTTCAGAATTTGAGTTTTGAAAATTCTATTTTGATCTGTACATTTTTTTGCAAAAAAAAAAAAGATCCGGTTTACTTTATTTCCCAATGATCTTGATGTTTTATGCCAGTTTTGACTACCTGAAGTTAACACTTTACCGTATGCATTGTGGGAAACATGATCTCATCCGTGGTTTAGCCTTTTACTAATTTAAATTTGAAGGTGGACTTTAAAAGGAGAATTATTGCCTTTGCCTATGCTACAAGCGTTTTAAAATCTGTAGTTAATTTATTCATTTAACACCACAAATGCGTGTTCACTACAGCAATTTGAAAATGTTTAGGATCACCTTGCCATTGACCTGCTACTAGCTATGATTTATGGCCTTTGAAAAACGCCTTTTGGCCTTTGTCTACTAACTTTCGGCCTACTAACGTTCTAGAATCCGTGGCTCATATACGCTACTAGCACGGAAAACGAACAGGATTAGGTTGCTGATTTAACACCATTAGTAAACTATTTTGGTTGAGATAAATGTTTGACAATGCGGCGCTTAATAGGAACAAGATTAATTAATAGAACCTTGAACATTTCACTAAAAATCTTAGTGTACTATCCGGATCATTTATAGATTCAGATTCAACGGGAGTTTACTAAGATCAACTGAGAACATATAAGCATCAAAATTCTTAAATTAAAGTTTTCGTAAAGCTAAATCTGTCTTGGTAATAAATGGTAGATTCGTTGTCTGGGGGGTCTAGACCATTACTTCCCACATTTCACAATTATTTGGCAAGTGATAGTTTGATATTGCGCTCTGAATATACGCAGTTCTTGTTTATATTGACTTTGTTTATAAATGCTTGTTATCCTCGTGGTGTTTGAACTACAGGAATCGCATGATAACGTGCCAATCTGAACATAGTTGCTGTAGTCATTTCCTGTCAGTGATGTGTTGCAGAGAGATATCACAACTTTCATTGTTTGACACGACAAAGATACACAAACCTTATCCTTAGTTGAATTGAAAATTAAGGTCATCGCAAGCGAATAAGCAAAGTTAAGAGGCTCAATGAAAAGCTTGAATCACTTCTCTGTTTTTTCGCTTTGCAAGTTGTATCAAATATACAGGTATGTTCTTTTATTCCTCTGAATAATAAATAACTTGCCTATTTATTTTTACAGCAGATGTAAACAGGATAGTGGACAAATTAGGACTGGACTTCGTTGAAATTTGGCAAGCATATGTACGGTCTTATGACAATTTGGAACTGGCAGCTAAATTCAACATTAATGGGTAAGTATAACAATGGCGCAATTGTACATATTTCATATACCGGTATGAACTTAATAAAAATAGTTCGAAGTTTAGTTCAGTCTCTTTTTTCAACAAAGTTTCAGGTCCGTGGATTCCCCAAGCTTTAGTTGCTTTGATTCTTTCCGGTGCTAATACACAAACTCAAGAGAATAGAAGTTATTCATAATTTAGTCATTATATCGAGCTTAATTTGACCAAAACAATGCGGCGATACATCTTTATCATTTTATTCATAATTCTTATGTCAAAAGAAATAGAAGCGAGAAGAAAAAGGTTGTCAAGAGGTGGTTTATTTTGTACACCCACAACTCCGTCGACAAATGGGTGAGGTCTGAATCCCTTCAATTGGTAACTTATTACTTGGATGGAAGCAGTCCTATCAAGGTAGGTCCAAAACAGTGGCGAAGCCAGTATTTTATTGACGAGGGTACTAGTCAAGGTACCGTTGAAATTTAAGCCTTTTTATACTTGTGAATCCATTATTATTCGTGTAAAATTTATATTGACGAGACGCCATTTATTTCATTTGTTTAATACCCATTTTATTACCTTCTTAGGTGACAACTCTGCATGAAAATGGAACAATGGAAGTCATGTACATTGGAAGTTTGTTGGATAAAAGATGTGAAATACTCAATTGTCAATATGAATTTATTCAACCAGTTGGTTCCACAATGAAAGAAGAGATTTTCGATGCAGAAGGTTGGGCTGTTATAAGTGCTGTCACTTCACCCGGTCGTAAGTTATTATAATGATGATGTTAAAATGAGAATGTTGTTGTGTTGCTCTGATCTGTCTTCATCTAGCTAGCAATATTGGGCTTGGTAAATTAATGAAATGAATAACCGAATACATCATCTGTACGGTACTTCCAGTTGTTTGTTATCTTTAACGTAACCCGGCTGTTTGTCATCTTTAACGTAACCCAGCTGTTTGTTATAGCCGTAAATAAGTTTTTTTGTACTAATCTTATTTTCGCTTTTATTGTGTAGGAATAATCATATAGATGTGACAAAAAGGTGAAATGTGTATCAGTAATTGCTGATACAGCTTTAGATATCAATCAAATACTTCGTTATGAGTTGTTCCGACAAGCCACTGCGACACCTTACATCAAATGAAATTTTGACACAATGCAGATCACTGAAATTGTTCAAGTAGAGGCTATGTATGTCTATTCGCATGGAAAGGATAGGTAAATTCTATATACACATTTTTGTCACATTTTTATAACACTTTTGCAATTATTTCTATTTTCAGTTGAAGGCTCGGAGGGTCTTTCCATAATATTTGATTCTGAATTGACATGTAGTCTATAAAGTCTAGAACCAATTTCTTTCTGAAGAATAAATTGTCATGCATCATTTGTGTTTATTATTACACGCCAATGCGTAGTCCAAAACATGCCGACTCCTTTATATATGTAGGGCTTTGTCTCCCTCTGACAGTACAGTTTTTTACTGTTCACAAATAGATATTGGTAAAAGTCTCCATGGTTCTGGTGATCTTCTAAAATGAGTCAATTAATAGTCACAGAAATAACACAGTGACTCAAACCTTAGTTGGGCGATATTGGTCAAAAGTGTCGAAGAAATTTTTCAAAACATTGTGTAGAATGAATGTTATTAATATTTGAATTAGTCCATATCTCGTTAACTCTCGACAATAGATGTGGTATTTCGTGATTAATAACTACCATTTAAACCATTATAATAAACAGAAATGACTAAAATGTATAGTATTTCAATAAATTAGTTAAATATAAAAGCTCTGTCCACTTAATACAGTAGTTAAAACACATGAAATGAAACGGGGCTCACTTCGAGGGTACAACAAAATAAATAGAAAATTGTTGATTGTCTCCCCTTACAGTAACGATCATGTGAATCGTTTATCAATATCAATCTCTCAAACCGGAAGTAGAATGAGTGTATTAAAGTAAGCATAAATAAATATATAAACACTTCAATAACCTTCAGGTAGAAATATTCATGGCATTAAACGTCTAATCATTTTACTTTATTGCAATCCTGTATAGTCAAAACAGATGCAGTGTTCACCTCATCAAAGACATAAATATTTCTATATATGTCCAAAACAAGGGTGTAACGACTCTTGATTGTTGTAAAACAAAATACCATGTCACCCCCTGTTCTGACTGTCAAAAATATCTATCAGAGGCTCGAATAGAGGCAGTGGTTTCAGACTAAGATTTTCTTCGTCATGAATGTTATTTCTCTTGCAAACACAGACTGTTAAACAGTCCTACGTTCGACCAATCGTAAGTACTTTCAGAAACAGGATATTTTTTTTAGGTAAGTATTTTTCAGTAATAGTGTGCACAGTTCACCGTCGAAATAAGAGACTTTAAATCTACTTGTGTCTAGAATTTTCACGTTTTAAAATTAACCTCCGAAAATGGCCAACCATATCCTTTTATTAATGTTGGATATAATGCAAATATCGGTTATCAGGTGAGTTTCGTGGTCATTGACAAAATTCTAAAATACAGATTCTTTCCATATTAATTTAAAAGATGCAGTACCGGCTCTCACCTAAGAACACGTAGATTTTCGTTGATGTTGCTGACGGTGATGGGGAGTGAGCACCGGATCCCTGTATAGACGACGACAAGACAGGTCCTGGGAAAATAACTGCCGGATTTAATGTATAATATCCCCTGGATTTTACATGAAATCTCTTGATATTTCATAAATATCACCTCAAAATTCTCAATTTGCAAAGAATAATTACTAGGTTACTAGATAGGGGCGTAAAAAATCGTCGTCGACACAATCGAGCCCAAGCGATTTATTTTATGGCGATTTTAAAATTCACGGCAATCGGGCGATAAAATATACTCGTCTGCCCAAGCATAAGAAAGTATTCGGGTGAAGAGTTATCTATATGTTATCATTCATTATAGATACCAATATCATCTTGGTTTGGTTTGACGTCCATTTTATGGGTAACTTTAAGTGGCCTTATTATGCCCAAAAAACTATTGCTACAGCTGACGTAATAATCATGTATTACATAGAGTGACTATGTTATAGACAAAAATTTCATAATGGCATAGATTCATGAGATTATACAAATAGTCTTCTATTTGTGAACAAGAAATTAGAATTCTTAAATCTGGATACATGGGTTTGATTATTATAGTAACAACTTAATTGTGATTATTTCAATGTCTGACGCATACGACGGACTTTTTTCGTGCACGTTAGCAAGAAATATTTTTTTGTTTCAAAAAACATTTGTTTGAAATAATGAAAATCAAACTTGAATTCTGGACAAATGTTTTGCAAACAATTGTTTCGAGACTGTCGTGTGCTTTGAAAAAATAAATCCGTCCCCATCCAATCAAAATATAATATCAATTCACGTGCAATAACATTATATATGAATCTCATAGTCACGTGAGACAAAAGTCGTTTGACAACGTAATGTTTCTTTAGAACAATGTCCATCGTGTGCTGCTAATGGAAACTTGAACACATGGAATGACAAAATGCTGAAATTTCACATACTTTCATAGTTCATAAGTTATGTCCAGTTTCCAAATTTCAAGTCTTTGGCTTAATAGGTCTGTTAAATTCAAATTTCATCTTTTGAAAACAAATAATTGCGAATATAATACACAGCGTGTATAATGCGCACCCCTTCCTTACATTCGATATAATTGAAGTGCAACTTTGAAATTTAGATAGTTCTCTTGCAATCTGTGCATTTTTTTCGCAATTTCTCTCCGATCCGGTTTACTTTATTTCTCACTTATCTTCATGTATAAAAAAATCTTCACACTGGCCGTATCGTTATGCTAGTTTTTGACTACCGGATTCTGAAATATTCCCCGCCACCACTAACATGCTACCTTTTTGCAGGGTGGGAAAAATTACCACACGGTGTTGCAATTTTTCAATTTTTAGTCGCAAGCTATGTTGGTGTTTCCATAACATTTGATTCTGAATTGACATGTAGTCTATAAAGTCTAGAACCAATTGCTATCTGAAGAAAAAAATGTCAAATATCCCTCATTGCACAGTGTGTGGCGTTGTCAGTTTTCATTTGCCAATCAAGTGCAGAGAAGTAGGGCGTAAAACTCCATTCATGTCATTTCTAAGACAATCTTTTATTGTTACCAGTCGATTTAATTCAAAAAGTAGAACTTGGCATGAATCTAGTAAGCACAGCGTCAAGGAAAATTCCATATATTTCTAGCTGGATTGCCTATAGTCCTATAGTTCATTTTAAACCAGGCATTATCTGAATAAATTAAATATTTGATGAACATCGCCAATCGAATCACATTTCCATAACTATATTGTTCATGACAAAACGAAAAGTACTTTCATATATCTCTGTTGATTGTTGGCTGTTTTTTTTATTTGTACCATTTTTTATGAGTACCATGCTTCCAGATTATGATACGATAGCAATGAGCAACAAATTCAAAATTTAGGAAAATAATGTAAAAATGTCAAATTGATACAAAAAACCACCAAAATATCTAAACTATCAAAAGTTGCCACCATTTAAAAGATTGCAAACGTTTTTCTATTACAAATTATAAATCACAATTTTCTGTATAGAATTACTCACATAACTTTGGGAACAGTTGCGTGACTAAATTATCGAATCAAATGACTTGCAGGCCTGCTCCGGAAACGGAAACCCTCAATTTTGTTAATTTGATTAGTGCGCCTATTTTTATCTTCTTTAAGTCATTTTATCTTCCACTACGGTACCAATAATTGCTATAGTATGTAAATTGATGAAATAGTAGCTATTTGTTATTGAGTAGTTATAATTTATATGGTATTTTATGAGTCCTAAATCTATGCTAGAATAGCAATGAAAATAAATCAACATAATTGCTCCGTCCAGAACGTTTCTGACTTTGTCATTTGATGTATTCTGAACACAAAAACCGGCATTGTGTCAAGGAAAGCTCTCTGTAGCGTTGAGTATCCATGTTGGAATGAGAAACTAGTGAAAGTAACAATAAAAAACATTTATCGACATTTTATTTGATCAATAATTTCTCCTGTATTTTTTGGTGTTCTGGTTTTCAAAACTGGGACGTCTCAGTAAGCGGGCAGGTAAATTAAGATAATTTAGAAAAAAACTACAGTTAATTTAAGTAAGAAAACTAGTTTGATTAAAGTATAACTGAGCCATCAATTAAAGTGGAGTGTCTTCGTATTGTAGAATATTCTCGTGATCGACTTTTTGATACTGTTCAATGAGTTCACTCACTTTGATCACCACTAATTTCGGGAAGTTCCAATTTCAAATCAGTCCTCCTGATGGGGATTGTTTTGAAACTTTACCCATGACAGTATGTATGTGTATGGAAGCCGACTGCTGCCATATCTACCCCTGACTCCTCGCTTTGGTCTTCTTTTTGTGGTCTCTCGACTAGCTGTGGTCGGCGTTCATATGTGCTAGCATAATAACAAAGAAAGTCTTTTCTGGTAGACTATGTAGGCCTATTGAATATACATATAGAAACATGTTGAGTATTTAATAATTTTTCTCAAGGTTAAGTATAATAGCATTATCGCGAAATAATCCTCGTTCAACAAGTATTGTTATTTAAATCTTTATTGGTGTCAAAAAGTCAAAGGTAAGTAGTCAAATGACCAAAGACTAGACTTCGATATTAAAGAGAGGAGTGCAGCTGGACACAATTTCACTCCAATAAATCTAACGTTAAAAATATAATAAAATCACCTTGCTGAAGTAAAGTTTATTTCCCTTTAAGGTACGTTATACGAAAAATCGAATGACATGACTGTGGTTTTGGGTTTTCTTGGGACGGACTAAAAATCAACCAATCAAATCGCGCTAAGACATCTTGATACTACAAAAAGGTAAACGTGCATTTAGAAAGGTTTCCCGGTGTAAGCAATGCTTTGATGGACCAATTAATATTGTCCGCTCTCAGATATGAGATTGCCTAAATGCAAAATCAAATGCAAATTCAAATGTAAATTCGCTGTACAGTTTGTATTGAAGACGCAAATATAAAGATACCGATATCCCTTTTAATAGGATTGTTTGATTTAAAGAAAAAATAGAATTATTATTAACACTATATGCTCTCCAGCATTTTTTTCTAGGGTCTGGGCTACCTTGCGGGTGGGGACAAGTTGACTTGGATCAATCAGTCCCTATGACAGTTAAGCCACTGTTTATCCCTTTAGTCCTGGTGTACTTAAACATTGACGGTCACTAATATTCAAAACGTATATCAATGCTGTCTTATAATCTATTTATATATTTATATAGACTAATATTGTATCTTAACAATAAAACTACATACTATTCTTCAGTCATTCTTGTTGCTTATACAAATTAGTTCACATTCTATAAATAGAATAAGCGGACCATCCCTAAACAGATCAAATAGCGAAAGGGTATTATGAAATATTTGACAGTTTTATAACAAGATACTTAAGTCAAATGTCGTCATAGCTTCTGGAAATTTCGTTTACAAGGTAAGGCTATCGTTATTTTTGAATTTTATATTGTATATGATCATAGTTTACGTCAAAGTAAAAGATAAAGTCTTACCTCAAATACACACGGAGGTTTATTTGAAAATATGTCAAAAATCTTCCGTAACATATGTTTTAAGAGTGACAAAGCACGTTTATATACATCTCTGAAATTGATGTAGGTTCTGGTTTCGTTTGCACAAAGTGATCAATATAAAATTTTTAATACTGTATAGCATCGTGTATTTTTATGGATATAAACTTCTATTTATAAATATATTCTGTATGATGTATACTATGTAGCAAGTTTATTCTGTACCAGGTGCATTTTGTATCATATAATTATACTATGTTGGAGGTGTATCTTGTATACTTTGTATTTGTTATATTCCTTATCTTATATTATACTTTGTAGCAGATTATAATTTCGTGAAATTCCGCATCATATATACTATGTAGCAGGTGTATACTGTATCTTATATACTATGTAGCAGGTGTATACTGTATCTTGTATACTTTGTAGCAGGTGTATACTGTATCTTGTATACTTTGTAGCAGGTGTATAATTCTGTATCATGTATACTTTATAGCAGGTGTATTTTGTATCATGTTTACTTTGTAGCACGTGAATGTCGTATCACGAGTTTGTTGCAGCCGTGTAGTATCATAGTATTTACTCTGTATCATGTTTACCTTGTTGTATTTTTTGTAGCCGATGTATTCTTTATCTTGAATACCTTGTAGTTGTAATATTCCGTATCTTATATACTTTGAAGTCAATGTATTCTGTATCATATATCCTTTGTAGAAGGTTTATTCTGTATCACGTATACTTTGTAGTGGGTTTATTCTGTATCGCGTATATAATTTATAGATGGTGTAGTCTGTATCATGTATACTTTGTAGCTGGTGTATTTGTATCTTGTATCCTTTGTAGAAGGTGTATTCTGCATTGAGTATCCTTTGTACTGGGTGTATTCTGTATCATTTATTCTTTGTGGCAGGTGTATTCTGTATCATTTATACTTTGTAGCTGGTGTATTTGTATCTTGTATCCTTTGTAGAAGGAGGTGTATTCTGCATTGAGTATCCTTTGTACTGGGTGTATTCTGTTTCATGTATACTTTATAGCAGGTCTATTATGTATCATGTATTATTTGTGGCAGGTGTATTCTGTATCAGGTATACTTTATAGCAGGTGTATTCTATATCAAGTATACTTTATAACTGGTGTATTATGTATCATGTATTCTTTGCAGCAGGTGTATTATGTATTTATACTTTATATCAGGTGTATTATGTATCAGGTATTCTCTATAGCTGGTGTATTCTATATCATGTATACTTCATAACTGGTGTATTATGTATCATGTATTCTGTGCAGCAGGTGTACTATGTATTTATACTTTATACCAGGTGTATTATGTATCATGTATCCTCTGTAGCATGTATATTCTGTATCACATTAACTTTGTAGCTGACGTATTCTGTATCAGGTATCCTTTGCAGCATGTGTATCCCGTATCACATTAACTTTGTAGCTGTTGTATGCTGTATCATTTATAGCTGATATATTCTGTATCTTGTATACTTTGTAGTTGTTATATTCCGTATATCATATTCTTTGTAGTGGTGTATTCTGTATCATGTATACTTTATAGCAGGTCTAATATGTATCAGGTATTCTTTGTAACAGGTGTATTCTGTCTCAGGTATATATACTTTAAAGCAGGTGCATTATGTATCATGTATCCTTTGTAGCATATGTATTCTGTATCATGTAAACTTTGTAGCTTGTGCATTCTGTACCACGTTTACTTTGTAACGTATGTATACTGTATCATGTATGCTTTGTAGTCGGTATACGCTATATAGATCGGGTATATTTAGAAGTCGGTATATTCTGTATTATGCGTTCATGGTAGTCGGGTAGCGGTGTATTTTATATACTTTGTCGTAGGTGTTTTCTGTTTCATGTATACTCTGTAGCAAATTGACACATGTAGCATAACCGTAAAAGTGTGCTATTTTTAATGATTAGTTGATAACGTTTTAATCATTTTTTTTAATGTTAATTAATCTGCTTATACAATGCTATTCTAATTAGGTGAATAAGATTAAAGAAGACAAGGTGAGACACGTAATACTGGTAAATATATTGTGTTCAACTATATAGTAACAAGAGCCATGCAATAATCCTCTCTAATCTGGTGTCAGATTACATGTTAATGGACTAGTTATAGGTTTTTGAAGAATAGTTCAGTGGATTAGCTGAGGAAGATTAACTCGACTAAAGGGTGAATTGACGTACCCAAATAGAAATTTTAATATGTGTCTTTTAACTTGATATGAAAGTCATAAGTTAGGCATTATATGTTTCAATAATAATTGCATTGTGTAAGCTACTATTATATTTATCAATTTCCTGCAAAAGATAAATGGAACTAAACAGGTAGGTAGGTAGATGACAAGTTAATGTTCTCTTCCAGCGGAAGCTGAATGGAACTAAACATTCAATTTGTTGTATTTCATTCAGATTCAATAATGTCGTCATTTATTGAGTCACCAGAATCAGAGTTTGAATACAAAGAAAAACGTTTTTATTATTACATTATCTTTTTACGTTATTTGTTATTCAGTGCAGATAACAAGTAGATAAGTAAACACAAACATTGTTCAGCGACATAAAACTTCCGGACCTTCCTCAAGGCTGTCAGATTCGGGACAATTACGTACACGATAGGCTTAACCGTTATGTTATAAATAACTCTATCTCCAGTCCGCATTTTAATTATTTAATACAATTCTCATGAATATGGTAAGAGGTTTTAGTGAAATTACATAAGCTGAACCATCTTATTTGTAGGACTATTGGCTTTTTTGTCTAGAATAATAAAATTGTTGGATGTTTATGGAGGAGATAGTGAGCAATTGGGGTGAGTAGGGAGACTGAAGGATGACTAGACTTGTTGATTTGAGTTGGGGGTGGGGAAGTAGGGTCGACAGCTTGATAAGAAGTCTTAAAAGGAGTAGACCTTCAATCTGACATGAGTGAAATTAAAGTAATTGGAAATGTATTTGGCATGTCAAAGGGACTTGGTTAAGAAAGTTGGTGCTATACTTAGTTGAATTGATCGTTTGGTTTCTCAAACTGACGAATTAAAAGCGGAAGAACGATTATTCTCAATCCAATCAAAATTACGTTTTTCGCCAAAAGAGACGCGTTTGGTTAAATAAAACGCTATTTGAACTGGACTGCGATAGAAAACTAGTTAGATTATAATGAAGACGAAAAATATCAGAAATTGTGATTTGATTTGATATGATTGAATTATTCTATAGTATATCACTGACATTGGATAAGTATTAAGTTATGAAGTGAAAGTTTAATGCGTTTGATTTAATGGTCAGATATGATATCGAAATCAACGACCGTAAATATTGAAATACTTTATCGTGTTGAAGAGCACGATCACATTTAGGTCAATTCTATATTGTGTAATATTTAGGACTGTTTGTTACTATGTTAATGTGAAGATTCTAGATTCTCTAGTCCGCTCATTTTAATTTAACTAATACAGTTTAAACTTAGTAGGAAGAGGGTATTAAGATATCTATGACAGGTTTGTTCATTTCACTGTTTTATACAGAAATAAAAACATGGCCTAGTTGTTACCTTGTTTAAAAGTTTTTGAGGCATAAGTTTATCAACAATTGCTTAAATGGCTGAAAAGGTATTCACTGACATGTACTTTTGTTTGTAACCAGTGATTGTTTGTCATAAACGGTTTAACAGGAAACTAAACTTTAAATCATTTAGATTTGATGGTCCTTAATGATCAAATGTCGTTAGTGAAAGGATGACGAAATATCCTTAAAATGCCTTCATCATTGTGACGACTTAATATTGAATTTCGAAAACATCACATGAAAAGGCATTCTGCTTGGTTAATCATCCTGAAACGTACTTTGACTATATTTTTGTTGACGCTACAATGGTTTATTTACCTTTTGAATGTTTACCTCGAGAGAGGTCATGACTTGATAAAAAATGAACATGGGTATTTGTCACTAGTAGTATTAAAAGTTTCCTTATATAACCGACTTATAAGGACTAAACAAGACGTGTACGATATTAACAATAAAACTTGAACTTTACCTGATATACATCGTGCTTTATTGTCATTTCTTTGCCCACTCTGTGACAAGGTAGGTCAGAATTTATACAGAATATAGGAAGAAAACTTTAATTCGTAAAGATCGCTAATTGTCTAATCAGTGTTAAGACAATCTTGGCAGTATTCGCTGATCAAAATAAATTAATATGTATATGACACTTTTCTTTTTTCCAGAATTGTTTACGTTATTTGGTATTAGTTTTTTTGTTTACCAATTCAACATTGATGATATGTGCAGATGTTTATGAATATATTTCTTGATGTTTGAATTATATATAAATTATATATCTATTTTTAGATGTCTAATCGATTTCTAATCTTTTCCCAGATCTCATATCTATTTTCTATTGATCAATTTCCAACTATCTATTCTATTGCCTAATCCTAATATCTAACATATTCATAGATATATTTTCAGACAATTTCAGACGTCTAATCTATTTATTAACCTATTTTCAAATGTCAAACCTAATATATTAATATACAAGTATTTTCAGAATGTACGTATAAATGTCTTTATCAATTTATTTATTAATCTGTTTTCAGATGTCTTACCAATTTATTAATCTAATTTCGAATATTTTACCAATTTATTAATCTATTTTCGAATGTTTTACCAATCTATTAATCTGTTTTCAGATGTCTTACCAATCTATTAATCTAATTTCGAATATTTTACCAATTTATTAATCTATTTTCGAATGTTTTACTAATCTATTAATCTATTTTAGAATGTTTTACCAATTTATTAATCTATTTTCGAATATCTGACCGATTTATGTACTATTTCTCAGATATCTCATATAGTTTCCAATCTAATTTTAAATCCAGAGATCTGTGTCCATTTGTCTCATCTATTTCCAAATGTTTAATCGAAATATAAATTTATTTTCAGATGTCTTACTTATTTTCAAAACTATTTTCAGATTTTCAGTCTGACATATCCATGGATCAGTGACTGTCTAATCTATTTCTAAATATTTGATTTGTCTATAAATCTATTTTCAGATGTCTAATCTATCGCATGATGTCTAACCTATTCATCAATTAATGTTTTCAGACGTATAATTTATTTTTTTAATCTATTTTAAGATGTGTAAACTATCCATGGATCTGTTTCCATCTGTCTAATCTACTTCCAAATGACTAATCTATTTATCATCTATTTCTAGGTGTCTAACTTATCCATTGATCTGTGCCCATTTGTCTAATCTATTGTTATATATTCAAGCTATTTTTTAATCTATTTTCAGATGTCTAATCTATACAACACCGCTGTATATTTATTAGTGATAATATTACCAGTCAGTATAATATGTTGTTGTATTGGTCTGTGTAGAAGATATCTATGTAATAATGCTAATAAACGACAAACTCAGATGCAACACATAATTACGGGTAGGTTAATACGGGCAGAACTTCATCAATTCGATATATAAACTAATTTTATGGCCTTGAAACGCGTCAAGCAGAAACACAGGTTCCTGGAGACAACTACGGAATAGTTACTCCTATCCATAAGCACAAGGAGTTGTAATATTGTAATATTTGCCAAAGACAGGACGATCTATCGTTTACCCTGTGTAGGTAAAAAAGAGGTAGATATTTGTATATCTATATTTAAGGATTGTGGTTCTAGAAACACAACTATGAGGTTATACCATAGATAACCCCGAAAAGTCATTTCTATTTCAATATATTAACAGGTCAATACACAATGTATTGTCCTGAATTGACCTCAAGGGGATCGATGAGATTATAATGAGAGCAATGCTATGTCCGCTGAATAAACCTGTCATTTATAGTTATGGTTTTTTGGTCATTTGGATTTTCAATAAGTTAGCAATGATAATATTTAGATTATTCAATACACAGACTTTGTCTTGTTCAGATCTACAAAAAATAAGATCACTTTGAATCCATACTACAATTGAATTTTATAGTTTCAGGACAAGTTCCATCAAATTCCACAACTCCAAGATATGTTCAAGAAGATCCAATACCAGCGTACTTGCAAGGACCTCCAGATTATACGGAAGTTAGCATGCCACCACCTTCATATGAAGAAGTAATGAAACATACCTCATCTTACGACACCAAAGGCACTTCCGATTCCACTAGTTATGAGACATAACTCTTAACAAACTTATGCCGAAAACCAATGAAAGCTGAAATGGTTGTGACCATATATTCCAGGGTTTAAATGAAATCCAAAATATTGGACACATTATGGATCTCTGATATCGAAAAGTGTCTTGAAAACCATTGGTTATACCCTACATGATTAGCAAGGGTATATACCCATTCGACTGTGATGGCTGGTTTATATATCTTTTTTAAAAGTAATTATTAGAGACTAGCAATATGTATAAGTTGTTAGTATAAATGTGTATATAGGAATATATAAATTGTGTGTACTGATATATGGTTAATACGCATAATAATAGACTAAGAGAGTATAATATTCAAGGAAGCGAGCGAGTCGGCAAACCTTCAACCAAGCCCATTATAAAGGAAATTGCGTCATCTTCCTAAGCCAGTGATACAATTTATTAGTGTGCTTCTTATTTGCCCCAGGGACCTGAAAGCCAAGGATGTAAAGTGTCCTACATTTTTATATGACAATCCTGCGAATCTGTATTACCATCCGTGTATATGTGTGGTTCTAAAAACGTCTTAAAAGTATATTGTGGACAATAATGCTATTATATTATCTAACTGCCTAATTTTAGACACAGGATAGTATTTTTGTTACAAAGAACAATGGTGTAATATTAACGTCATAATGCGGTGGACTTTATCATAACCATACAAAATTTGCGTGCATTTTGAATGAATGAAGTATTTACCAATTGTATGGCTGATATTAACCCTTGTGTGTCTGCTGTTTTTACATTGACTGTTTTATACGAAATCTATAGGTCTATTTATATTTGTATATGTTCAGTTTCTTGTAAATAATGTTGTTATTGACTGTTATTCATTTATTATGCATAGTTTGTTAAGAAACATTCATTGTTATCATCCCATTTACCAATAAAATCTGTTGACAACAACATGTTTACATTTAAAAGGCGAAATTATATTTTGTATTTACACAGTTTCGAACTTATTATGACCAATATAAAACAATAGGCCTAATATGTTAGGAATAAACGAATAGAAACAGTATTGTGGTATATACCGTGTGGTGCACATGAATATCTGGTGATGTTCGTATGGACTCATTAATGGTTCAGCTTTGTATGGACACCAAAAATTATGCCAAATCAGGCCTTTGTCATGGTGAAAATTCTGAAAAATTAGCGATCCAAAGATTTCATGTCTAATCGGAAACATCTGCCTCTATTCCAGCTCTAGTCTAGCCTGTCCCTAAGCGTTATGATATCCTGTCCGTATATCACGTTCGAGGAATGGGTTGGGTCAGATTTGTCGGGCTTCTTTTAAATTGAAAGGGTTGCTATTTTCCTCCTGGAATAGTCAGAAGGCGATAACTTGTAGATGTGATCCATCCGGATTGAATGGCAATCTTGATGTTTCTGCAGTTTACTTAGGCCTACAAATATATTATATCAAATCGCCCAGAAAAGGAGACGCATATAAAATTTAATAAGATCACGGATGGCAAGGCAAGTGGTGTCACCCTCAGAAATAACACGAAACATCCAGTGTCATTCGAATCAGACTGGATATCTCAATATCAGCCCAAGGGAAACAACTCAAAAAAAAAAAATATAACAGAAACAAGACTATCAATGGTAGTTTTTCTTGAAAAGCGGTCTGTTTAACAAGTATAGGCCCATATGTTTACAGGATGGACAAAATAGCTTGATTCTAAAACTATTCTTAGACCTAGGTCATCTATTAAATATTCTAGACCTATATCTATTCGTTATTGGCCTCGAGTAAATATCAGTCAACAGTAGGCTACCTGGCTAGGAGAATATTGTCATGTCGCGACACCAGTCCTGTATCTTCAGTTCACTGAGAATGAAAATTGCGCCATGTTAATCAGATTGTTCGAAAATCAAGGGAGGTAATACTGTTTTAAAAAAGAAAGCACTGAAAAAAGTCAAGTTTAAGGGAGATGACTCAGACGCCAAAAAGTTACAATTTATACTGTTGAAGCATAAAAATCCTGTTTCTATAGGATACCGTATTAAGAAGGCTTAAGGTAGGGGAAATTCGATTCTTTAATTGTCATTAAGTTGTTGTCTTCTTCAGAGAGCAGTTCAAATATCTTGCTTTATTAAACAACTTAGTTTCAAGTTTCGTTATAATGCAGCCGACGTTGATTGGATCTGCTGAAAAAATAAATATGGAAGAATTGTCATGTAAATTTTATTATGAAAATGTAAATATAAAGTTTATACAAGAAAAACTGTATGTATAATATGGAACATTCTTATTAAAATAGCTATATACACAAATGTGGCAATTTACTGGAAATTTTGAAAAAGTTATAACAGTTTAAAAAGTTATGTGGATTGTTCTAGAATGAATCACATTTAAAGGTCATGAAGTTTAAAAAAAATATCTATATGATTTAAAAATCAATCAGAAATTTAAATTTTCAAGTAGGCCTACAATCCAAAACCATCCCAGTTATTGATCTAAAATATTTCTTGCAAGGCAAATTGGATTGTAAGTTTAGGACAAGCTAAGGAAACAGTCTCCAGATCACTGATGTAGTCTTACAAATAATAATACCGGTACATCAAAGTGTACTGTATCATAATAATCAGATGAAAAAAAAGGATGAAAATACCATAAAATTATGTTTTGCCAATTAAAATATTGTAAAAATATAGAGAACACAAAATCATGAATTAAAATTAATATCTGATGCACTTTATATACACAAATGAACTATTGAACTTGAAGAACACAAGATTATGGATGATGAAGCTCAATTAGTTCAAGACTCTATATACTGTAAACAATAAAGAACACAGGATCTGAAGTACCGTCCAGGAATTCTCAGCTTCAGTTAGAAAATACTCTAAATACAGTGAACAATAATGAACACAGGATCATGAAATAATTCAAGGGGAGATAAGAAGCTGAATTGCAATTGTCAGTGCTACATAAACATTTTACTACTACACCACCATTAGCTGATGTTCCTGTACAACCATCAGAATAACCAGTTCTTCTTTCACATGTTCTTGTTACTACTACAGACTCTAAAAATATCACAATAACTTTATTAACTATGTGGACTTCAGATGAAAAATTCGCAAAATGGCTTGATGATTTTCAAGAAAAGAAACATGGATCAATGAGACAAAATGGAATTTTGTTCCAGTGTGCCATAGCCGTAGTATTAAGGTCAATACATTCCATTTAACTACAGTTTACTGTGCAAATGAGGAAAATTGGTATCTTTCATCCCACCATTTTGTTGGAAGGACACAGCACTTTTAAAGTGGGTATATATTCAACAGGGCAAAGCTCAGTTTGTAGCTGTGAGCAAAGAGTTATCTTAGTTTCAAATTCTTATAAAGATAAGAGCAATTTAAATTGCAACTGCCAGTGCTTTCAATAGCCTGGATGGTGTATGTGCTCAAATAGAAGTAACATACATACCTCTACTTTCTCCATCAATATAACCAGTATCTCGTAGTTGTATGACTGTTTTATATTTAACACAATGTGTATGTTTGTCTTCACAATCATCTAAATTATCTTCACCATAAGGATCTAAACAAGTAGGTGACTCTAATGTTGTACATTGTTGGCACTGTAGGCAGGTCCCTGTGAAATAACAAGACAATTGTTATTAGGACAAATTGACAGTCAGTTGGTTTTGTTTAATTCGGTGTATTTTCTCAATACCATAATGGGATAATCAACTCCATAACACAGGATAGGGTAGTATTATGTATTTGGAATATAAAAATAATTTTAAGTAAAGCGGTTTTCGCTAAGGAATGTTTTTGACTCAATTTATGTGTCATTCTGATAGTTTATTTATATCAATAAAATATCAATATTAGTCAAATAAAACAACATGCGAATGTTTCAACTTTAGACAATTAAAATGGTGTTTTGTATATGTCAACTCGCCTACAAAATGAGATAACTCATCTACAAGCTGAAAATTCTACTATTTTTTTTTTTTTATAGAAATCAGGTTTACAGGAAAACTGCATTCCATAATGAGTCACTTGTGACCTAATTTCAAAATTGCATTTCTTCACTACTATACTTTACCTTTTAGGCTCAACTGAAGCTGAATTTCGATTATTTTTTTAATTATATCATAGTATAGGCCTACTCTTAAGACAAAACTCGGGTATTTGTTGAATGTATCCTAAGCATAAGAAGATATAATGAGCAGTATTAGTTTCACAGGTGGCTGAATGTTTTGATGAGCCATTCAAATAGAATTATGTTAAAAGTTACAATATCAAGATAAAATCAATTGAAAACATACGAAATTAACACAAAAACTTCAAAGAACTCACCTATTGTTATTAACAAACTAAAACTAAAGAAATATATCACTAATTTTTCCATTTTCTTCAAATTTTAGTTCAATTGTGTCTAAAAATGGTTAATAACTATAGCGCGCCCTCTATATCAGTTTTGTTACCTGAGAGGTAATTATTTGAGAGTTCCCTCCCCTTATACAGGTAAGCTGTCAACATATCACAGAGACTTGCACAAAGATAATTCATCGGTTACTCTTCATAAACATGACTCTAAATCGAATTTTACTGCTTATTTCTAAGTGATTGCAACTATCAATAATACTGATAGACTTTGAAAAGTAAAGCGTTTATCAAAAAACAAATTTTGTAAGCTTACATTTAATAAGAATTTTTTTTCATTAACGTAGCTTTGACATCATCAATATTTCAATTTTTGATATTCAAATTCATTTAACGATGGTCGGTAAAATTCGATTTAACGATCACAGTTCGAACGTATGTTTTGCATAACAAAAATTAAAAAATAAAAATATTAAAAAAATTGATATATTATTTTTAAAAAATCATTACAAAACGTGATAGGATGTTAATGTTATTTACAAGGATACAAAAACGAAATGGATCTTAAAACAGAGAATATTTTACGAAGACAATATTGCTCTAAGATACTTCAGAAATAACAAAATTGAAATATGTTTATATTCAAATCGCTTATTATGAATATGAACTGAAAAGCTTTAAAGCTGATTGATTATTGATGACAAAAGCACTGCATATGCATCTGAAAAGAAATGGTATTTGGTAATATGAATGAATATTTCTTGAAAACTTTCTTATAAAATGATAATGCTTGAGTTCTTTATGAAATATCCTTTGTTGATTACAGAGACCACAGACACAGAACTGATCTTTATTGACGATGGCACTGTAATTGTATAACGTCACAATTCACTAGGAATAAGAGATTGGTAACAGTAGTAGTATCCGTTGCATAGCTGTGGATGGAATTATAATATTTTTTATATTAACGATTCTGACACATTCAGAAGCGTTGCTCTCTACTATAATGCACAAGAGCTGTCGTTGATGATTGGTTAGTTAGCCTAAGACATCCAAAGGGGTTATGAAAAGAATGATGAAGTTAAAATAGTCTGTAACCAAAGGCACAGGAAGAGTTGTGGTAGGTATGAAGTTAAGGAATGATTCACATTATGCCGGAACGTGAAAAACTGATTCTACGCTATCATGAGTAAAGATTCCGCTTAAACTCACAATTCGAACCAAATTGTTGGTTTTTCAACAGGAAATCAGATAATGTTATGGAGGGTATGATGAAGTCAATGACTGAAGATCGACTTTATGTAAAAATACAATGAAACACTGACACCAACTCTGTCACGAGTAACACTTTAATCAAAAAGTAACCAAATTGAGTGTTTTCAGACTAAGAAATCGGAAAATGTTTTAGATGGTATGATGAAGTCAAAGAATGATTCTAGTTATGCTAAAATAAGTTGAAACACTGCCACAAACGCTGTCACGAGTAACATCGGCTTCCACTGAATTCCATTAGCACTATTACAGTTATCATTGTAACAATAACACTGTTCTGTATATCCACCATTGTTAGTGTTATAGTAACATCCGTTTTCTCGGAGTTTGGTTGTAGCGGTTTTCCTGATACACAGTCTCGATTCGAAAACAGATTCTGAAACATTAGAAACAAAATGTTAACACAACAGTGAAAGTTATGTCATAGCATAACGTTATAGATAATGTTATCATTACATGCAACATAACATAAGGGTTATTTCTAAAAACATATTTGGTTTAAAACACTGTTATAGATGAGTTCGCGCTGTTTAGGCCTACTGCGGGCTCCTTGGTGAAACTCTATTTGGCGTCAATTGATTTAAAATAAACAGTAACATTTCAAATATTATATTATACTAGTATCAAACTTTTGTTAACTTGAGAAGATTTTGCTTTGACTCTGTGGAGTATCCGAAGCTAAGTTAAAGTGCCGAGTGGACAACCTTCAAGTGTTTTTAAAACACGCTCCAACAAAATCAAGAAAGACAACTCTAACTTTACCTTTTGTATTTCTCCAGCTCTCGTGGTTAACTATTTTAGTATAGGTTTTAAGACAGGCTGTACAATCATCAACATATTTTGGATCGTCACAATTATTGTTGGAGCCTTTCACTACGATATTACATTGTAGACACTTGATTGCCTCTGAAAATATAAACATAATTTAAATGCAATTAACAGGGTATAATTATGGGACCATACAGCGGCCGAATCTTAGAGAAGAAATAATTTACCATCAGAAAAGGATCGACAAAATATCAAAGTTATTGTTCCGTGCCTAAACCTCCATAAAATAGCTTTAAATTATTCATAAATCCAGTTCAGTGCCAAAAATATAAGAGAATCCACTTTTTATTGGGGAGCGTCCATGGATTACTTATCCGAGGATCCTTCTCACAGGGGGTCCTCATTGAACTTTCCTGAAATATTCGTACTTTTTGTAGATGAGTTGATTTCGATAATATGAGAAAAGATGGCTCAAGGTCTTCAGGCTTCCTCAGGTTGTCTGCAATTAGAACTTACGAGTAGGAAATGCTCTATCTGCTTATTGATATGTGAAAACAATGCCCCAAATATTTAATATTGCATAGCAATGTTTATACCAAGTATTACATTGGATGTGCAAAAACAGCGTGGTTTCCTGTGTTATTCAAATCTTTAACTATTTGTCACGAAACACAACTGATTCAAACTGATATTTGTTTTTAACATCACATTGAGAAGGCACGTACATGTTTCTGTAAATCATCAACGGATCTTTTCATCAATTCTTAACCCAAACTTGTGACATTTTACCACTTACTTTGTCAGAAATTTAAGATTTTGAAGAGGTTTTAGGCTGTGGTTAACTCGAGTTTGTTCAAACAAATTAACGATGGTATGTGGAGGACTAAAGGAGATAGTTTTACAACGAAAATGAAATAAACTCCAAAAACACATAATTAACTTTGAAGAAAGCCGAACTGATGAAAATGTCACTACCCATACCTAGTTTACGAAAGTAAAGTTGGAAGTTGGAAGATCATATTTTGAGAATCAAAACGGAGAGCTGCACATGTTTCTCAATCTTATCTTTAAAATTACAATGCCAACATTTTACAGAAAAGCATAAGCGGAAAATAAGACGCAAAGCTCTATTACATTTAATTCACCCGTGTAAGTCTCAATCCACAGTATTGTTTAAATTAGGTCACAGATTGCAAGTCATTGACACGCATTCACCAAATATGATCTTATCATACAGGATGTTAAACCTATTCAATTCGATCAAAAATGCATGAGGGTACTTTGCGTCGTATCGTCAAAGATTGCAAAACCTTGCAATTCATTGTCCAGAATCCAAAAAGTACGACTGTATTGTATCAATTATGTGGCATAAGAATAAAAATTATCGTGAAAGGAAGATCTTCATCAATATTTTGCTGATAATATAGATTGGTGTTTGTGCCTTAACAGATGTTATATTTTTCATGCTTTGATATCTGAGGATAAGAAGATGTAAATGTATATCTAACATGTAGAAATGAAACAATATTTAGAAGTAGAAGTAGAAGTTGTGCCGGTATACTCGGTAAATTTCCAAATATATATATTATATATATATTGACCATCGGGAGACAGAATGTAAGTCATAATCCCCTTTGATCAGAGACCATTTGAAATTGAGATATTTCTTTCAGAACTGGAAATATTACCAAGGTAGAAAATTTTTACCTTCAATGCTATTAAAACATATTTAAATCACTATATCACAAGTAACGTTTTCCCCACCCCCATTGAAATATATTTGGCATTAGTATTGTTCTAGAACAGAATGACTGGCCCCGATAGCGAGGTTCAAGAATGATATAAGTGATATTTCAACTGTAATATTTGATTTATTACATGCAATAAAAAGGACAGAATTATTAGTCAAACTCACTTCAAAAACTACTCGATTTTTATGAGCCAATGTTTTATCTGTACACTCTAAAAACTCAAACATAGAACTATAGATTTAAATTGTAGTGACACAGATATCTTAATTGGACAGTTAAAGAAAAAATGCGGTATTTCCAGGAGAAAAGTTTACCTAGGTCTCAGTAATAATGTGCACAGAATGTTCGAAATTTGAGCCTTCATTTCCAAGTGGACCGAGTTTAGACTTGAATATTTGAATTCTGTCGAAGACGTCATGACTGTGTATACCGTGGATTAAAATAAAATTTAATTAATTTTTTTCGTTTTCAGTTTTAAAAAAACATTTCACATCTCGGAAAGATTTCAAATCGAACCCTACTTCCAAAAGTACAATAAAGTGTCCAAAGCTTCAATGGCAATTTCAAATCTAAAGCACAACAATAGCCTAGTTTGATCATTCTCGTTAATGATATTTTATGACACAGTTCCTCGTATGAAATTTCAAACGTCAAGGAAGTATTTTACTTTTAACTGTTTCACATGTTCTTAGATCAGGTACAAAAAATCTATACGACAAATCAACCTTGAAATCTGTATTTCTACGAGGTGACCCTTGTAATATCTAATATTCATGTACACAAAAGCGAAAGTGACATGGACCAATGTGTGACCCTTGGTTTATACAAGATTACAATTGAGATTGACCAAACATGTAAGAAATCCTCAAAATTGGCTTTCGTCACAAACAATAAACAGATCGGGTTTCGACTAATTTTAGGTTAATTTATTCATACCTTTATCCATGGTCAACCTACAATTTTCGTGTCTCGTGTATTGCTCTTACGAACCAGTTTTTAAACAGATGGTTATTTGGAATACTAAATAAATGGAATGTGGAAGAATAAATCTGTATTTGCACTGCAACGTGAATTTTAATATTTGTTATAGCTGCCAGATATAAATGCTACCAGTTATGTTATGGGACCCAAAATATGCCGGGGGAGGTCGGGAAGATGGAAAACCTTTCTCGTATCCCCTTTGAGTATGACAGAACTTATTTATCATATAATCTATGTCACTCTGCATGAGTACCGACCCATCAAATCAAACTATTCATCAAATTCTAACAAAGGAAACAGAACAATTTGAAGCTTGATAAATAAAAGAATTGAAGCGTATCTTATACCTAGAGTTTCTTTGTATCAATTGATTCATTAATCTTCTGAAAACTGTTTTTTGTAGATTTCTATTGATTTTATACTTTTTATATTCAAGTGTTCAAAAACCAATCCGGCTGTTGACAATAACCTTTTCGGACTCGAACACAAAAGAGTCGAACGTTTGGTTTTAAGTCATATTCCGCCTGATCACATTGTAATAAAATAATGTGAAGAGCCATTACATACCATTCTATAACCCTTTTGGACTCGGAACAAAAGACGAAAAGTCAAGTGCTTTGCTTTGTGGACCTACAAGGTTTTTTTCTAAAAGTGCTTCACATTTTTGGTGTTTATGAGAGCAAACTCATCGGCAACGTTACCTACTGCGTTCTTTTTTGACCAACTTAAGACTTTTAAAGATTTCGAAACAAAAGCCTCGAAATGAATTACATATTCATCAAATTTAATTTATTCACTTTCACGGAAAGTTCTCTTTCTATTGTACATTCAAGGTATTGTGAAGGACTATTAGTTTTCTTACCTTCTTGAACTTAACACATCGATACAGAAACACGTGGTTTACATTTTTGCCTTTGGGATTATGAATGTTGTCCATCCAACTGCAATGTTTATCCAACAACTGTTGATGGAGGGAGATGAAGGAGGGGGGGGGGGGAGGTTGTGGCTGGTCCGCCCGTAATTTTCTGATGAATTTTACCTGTATTTTTCTTTGTTTTCGGGTTGTTGCCTGATTTTTTCGGACGCCGCCGCCGGATAATATTTAATAAAGGGTCATCTTTAATTGGGTGTTTCACGACAGAAGTGAATATTGCATGTATTATCAGGTTTAAGTCCCCGTAATTACATGTAAAGTCAATTTATGTAACTTGTACATTGAGCTAATAGATGTCAATAGCAGACCAGGGCATAATGACATATTTAACAATTAGTCACTGCGTCACTCCCAACTATAGGCCTACTTGCAAATAAAATTAATTCTAAAGGGACAGTTGCAGGGTTGATTGTAGTCTTGAAGTTATGTAAAAAGTCTTCAGAAGTACTAGAAATATACTAAAATCGCACAATTCCTTTAAAACTTGGGCATTTTACCCATTATTTCTAATATGTCTTTTCTGTATATCACAGAGTATCATTTTTGTCATTTTAACATTCAAACACGGATAATTCCGGACACACGTGGATTTGAAGGCTCAAATTTCGACAGGTAGCTGTGAACACTATTACTGATTGGTTTAACTAAGAAATCCCCGCCTCGCGAGACTAATTAGTCAAAAAAATAGAGCCCCTGTACAACCCTTGATATTCCGTTTTTTTCAAAATTAAAGATTGTTTTAGTTAAAATATTATGATATGTGAGGTTTTCACAAATTTGAGCATACAAAAAAGTGGCATGTCCCTTTAAACAGCAAGAATATTGACTTCACGCAAACGATGCTCTATTTAACGCATAGTATCTTGAATTTCGACAAACCATGTAAAGAGTATTAATAGAATATAGAATTGGGTTTGGCAACTTCTTAAAGAGACCGTCTCAGATGCTATAAATGACAGTCTGTTATAACATTAAATGGGTCTAATCGTCTAAATATGCACTTCATGTTCATATCCACTTTAGAATTCAATTCCAGCAAGAAATATACGAATTGTATTTCAGCGTGAAATCTTTAGACCTTTTTTATTACTCTTAAAGAAAAACTTGTAACCCAAACGCAACTTTGCAAATGATATGGATAGTAGTAAATGAATTAGATCAGCTTGTAAGTGAAATATTTAGACGTTTATGTTCCTTTAAGATTGGAATCCGCTTGCTGTTATGATTTATTAGTTCGGATGCTTGTCATATTGTCAATAAATTAATCAGTTTATTTCAATTAAACCTTTCACATTATAGATATTTAAGGCATGGCACTTGTGAACAATACTAATGAAAAACGGTGATGCATCCAACACCACTCTGCAGCACCAAAATTGAAAATTCTGAGTAATATGAAATTGAAATATAAAACAAGATTCCACTATGTTGACTTACAAACAGGGACGATGATGGCATTTCCTGTCACAGAAGTAGCCTAATGTGACGTGTATCCGTATAGAGGAGTTTCAAAATCTCTGCAGAAGAACAACAAATCTCAGTATTTTCAGGTGTTTTCAAATGAACAGAATAACCTGTAGTCAGATGACCAGAAAAGCTTGTTGTCAGATGACCAGAAAAGCTTGTTGTCAGATGACCAGAAAAGCTTGTTGTCAGATGACCAGAAAAGCTTGTTGTCAGATGACCAGAAAAGCTTGTTTTCAAATGGCTAGAAAAGCTTGTTGTCAGATGACCAGAAAAGCTTGTTGTCATATGACCAGAAAAGCTTGTTGTCAGATGACCAGAAATGCTTGTTGTCATATGACCAGAAAAGCTTGTTGTCATATGACCAGAAAAGCTTGTTGTCAGATGACCAGAAACGCTTGGTGCTTTCAGATGACTAGAGTAGCTTGGTGTTTACAGATGAACAGAAATCCTTAGTTTGTTCAGATGAAAATATGCTGGTGCTTTCAAATGAACAGCCAAGCTTGGTGTTTTCATATAAACAGAAAAGCGTTGTGTTTTCAGATATAATCATAAAGTAGACACATGCTGGGATACCATTGAGTTCAGGATAATACCACATCATATTATGCCGTATGAATAGTAACCACTTTTAAAATTCTATGTTCTTTTCTTGAGGCTAAGAATAAAATTGGTCAAGAAGTATACTTAACACTGACGGACATATTTCAAATTACCGGACCATTTAGTAAATATCAATAGTACCTTTCAGCCGAATGTTTTGCAATGCTTGGTTGGCCATAAAGATAACAGCAAATATACTTTCCATCTTGAAAGCAACTTACAGCTGGTACTTTGAAATAGGAGGAAGGATTAATTTGATGAATGTATGTTAATATCCTGTTAAACGTAAGTGAAATTGACAACTATAAATATTACAATTAGCCCAGAGAAGCCAAACTATGTACTTGACATTACAGGCTATTTAGTTGTTGGTTTTTGTTAACCTTCCATCGTTTAAGAAAGTTATCCTGATTGCTGATCTATTTTATGATCCATCTGCAGAATTCGGGGATTTTATGGATATAAGTCGAAAGTTTTATCCGCATCGCTTTTCAGAATGAATATCATATTAAATAAACACGGACAATGATATTGAAATTATTTTAGTCGTCATCGTCCAACGTTTTTTTGCAAAAATTTAACGAAATATAGTCATTTCGTCTATTAACGTTTCTGCTATGATGAATCCATTGCGTCTCAAACACCTTAACGGACCTTCGTAGAAACAGATACCATACACATATATAGGCCAATACATGTCAATTATCATGTCGACATACATAAAAAAATAATTCAAGTAAAGTATCATATTATTCATTCATTAGACTTTTTTGAAATATGGTTGTCGGTTACTGTGGCAAGTAATAACAAACAAATATGCTGCAAATGAATCATCATCCCCAACGTCTTGGTACAATTAAGAATCTAAAAGTGAGGTTATCTAAACTTGTTTATGTAGCCTCATGAGATAATATCGTTGATAACATAATATTATTTCAATTTGTTTCTGTTATCCAAATTATAACCTACTTCATATCACATCATCTAGATTATACAAAAGAAAAAAAAGAGATAAAGTTTGGTGCAATGATATTGTCCTTGTCAGCACCCGCTCTATTGAATGATATAGTATAGTAAATTAGTAAGTATATCAGTAGGGGCCTGTACGGTGTATTTCTCTACTATTTCAAGTTCTGTGCCTAAATGGGGTCAAACCTTTTTCCATATACAGGGTACACTGATACCATTGATTTACACAGTTCCAAGTTTATTAACTTATCATTGGCTTATATTTTCCATCGGAGGGGGGGGGGGGAGGCATGCAGGGCATAGTATGACTGTAAAACTTTGTTTTATTTGACACGATATTTCGAATGGGTTAATGTGACTCATTACGGTCATGTACAATGGCTATCGTTTATTTAGTTAAAGTCAATATAAAAGATGTGCACTTGTTCTGTTTATCTTAAAGATTTCCTTCTTTGCCAAGTCTTAAAATAAACTTCATATTACACATTATGGTTAACACAAAGAGTTGAAGAAAGTAAACAGAAATCCTTTAAACCAGGATATAACTCAGCCTTGAGAAGTGCAAGTTTATTATATGCGAGCAAGCATAATCAATGCAAATTGGGTGTACCTAAGCAGGTGAGGTCACTGGTGGTGGAGATTTTGTGTAAGTGAAAATAATTTCTAAACATCTCGACCCGTCCAGGATTTCTGCGTTCCAACTGAGTATGTAATGAGCATGCAAAGATTCCAACGGATAAAATGTATGGCTAATTTTTTAAGGACCTGAAACAAAGCCTGAACTATGAAATATCATATACTATGTGACTATTATGAATTACAAAATTAAGCTTAACATCTAGATGAGATGTACTTTTAAAGTTGCACTATGATTTTTCTCGTAAGATGAAAAAATTGTTTTGCTCAAATTTATGAAAACTTTACACCAAAATCTAGATAAAATGTGTCTCTTTACTTATCTGAAAGTTTTAACTAGAAAAAACTTCAAAAATGCCAATACTGTTTTAAAGGTTTACGTAAACTTTTAAAGGTCGTTATGCTTTTTGGTAAGTCTCTTAGAAAACTACTGCACAGATATAAGCAAAATAATAATTGAAGGGAAATATGTCTCCAACAAATTTTAAGGTTTCAATAGAAAAAAAAAACCTTTTTTTTCATTCTAAAGCTAGATTAAGCTACTTATTTTTATTTAGCAATTGCTACACTCAAATTCGAAGGATTAAGTTCTTCAAACATAAAAACATCAGATGGCTATTTACGCAGAAGTGAACACCACCTGAGAAACTGGGCCATAATATTATAGTTTTTAAATTCTCACCTAGCAGGGTAAATGCACTTAAAACATACGTCAACATTTAAAAACCTGTATTTTATCCCAGGTTAAATGCTAAAACGTCGAATTTGAATTCTGTTTGGGTTCATAAAGGTCACATTTGAATGTAGGTGTAATTCTGTTTTTCTAGTGAATCACCTTGCATGGCCACAATCTGTTGTCCTTAAATTCAGATGACCCGAGATATTTCATCCAACTAGAAAGAAGTTTTATTGATTCTTTGACTTGATAAATGAACCTGTATGTATATGTATGATATAACATTCCTGAGATAACCAACATTGGTTACTATATTTTCAATCAACTTTCAAAATATAGGCGTATCTACTCTCCTGCTTAAATTGTTAAATTGAGAATTTCAGACAAGATATTTTCATTAAAACAGCTTGTTTCAGCTTAAGAAAAAAACAATGTATTATCATAATGTAGAAGTTTTGCCCATGATCTATATTATCATGTAATATTTGCATGAAATGAGTTCAAACTTGTAAAGTTTATATCAATATGTTATGAAATTAAAACAAATTATACTTTCGTATCTACTTGGTACCCCATATTCTTCTTTAACCGTTTTTATCAAATTGCATATAATTCTACTATTCCAGAAAATAAAATTTGATTTTGATGTGACTTTGGCAAATAACTTGTCCGATAAACATTCATGCAAAGAATTGAAAAACTATTTCAGATAAATTTCTAATCCTTCAATTCAAATTTTGATCCAATTAAAAAATAACCAGTCCCGAAATAAAATTTTGTCCACTTCATGTCGGCAGCATGCAATTGAATGTGGAATTTCTCATTTTATTTTAATACTTAATGCTTTTAATGCTTCATCAGAAAATATCATAGATTAGATATAAAAATATTAAAAAAAAAAACAGCACTTGACCATTGTTATTCTGACTCATTGTAAAGTTATCTCAACCTAAATGTTTGGGTCGCCATTTTTAATTAATGATTAACATATCAATTAGTAATATATCAGGTCATCTCAGGTGAAGAGGACTAATCATTTCATATTCAATTAATAGTCGTTCCTCTTAATTGACTCATCTATAAAAATTCAACAAAAACCTCATTACTGATCTTTATTCAGTACGTCGGCTTTTCTCTGAATTCAGATTGACAAAAATTACTTCGGACCCATGCCATAAAGTATCCGTTCCCTGGAATAAGATAAATTTCTAAAGAATTCCCTACAATTCCGTCATATTCATTGATAAATATGATTCCGAAACAAGACGCGCACTTGTTTTTCTATATCTAAATAAATGTTCATCGTTCATATTTGACTTGAAATGTCGTTTTGATATGATAAAAACTAACTTTTACTCACCCAAAGTTGGAATATTTTGAAAAAGAACAAGTAAAAAAGTAAATATCCATGCTAGCACTTTGTCCGACATATTTCCAGGTAAAATTTAAGTATTGTATTATTATACCTTTCACCGTAAATCGTTTACAGCCTCGTTCGTAATGGAGCTTAACGTCACGTGATCGCGTTCAATAAACGGCGTGTGAAGTGGCTCTGCGGTAAGTGTAAAATGCCTAATGATGCGATATACTGGTCCATTGTTTTGTCATATTGTGATTAAAGAATGGCGGTTTAACAGCTAACCCATCAAAATATAAAAAGCCCCAAAGTGAAGTAAACATATGAAAAGGTCAATTAGTTGGTGTTCTGACATTACTGGTGATAGTCAAACAAACCATTTTTGACGTTCTGATCGCGATAGGGAGTTACTTCGCAATATTGAATAAGTCTTAACAATTAATTCAACGGAGGGTGTATAAAAATGACCCCATAGTACTTAATAGGCAGAGTACTGTGACTATGAATAGTGATTATGGTTGTTGACAAAACTATTCGTGAAATTAAATCAAATTAGCATACAGACATAACCATATTCGGAATAGAACTGAAATGGGTAATTTGATTTCTTTGTATGACCCTCTTTGGAATGGATGTTGAGAAGATAATATAATCATTTAGATTATATAGAATCTGAATATGTGGTTGGAATAGTACACAATTTGTAGGAAACTATAAGCCTCTATTTGAACTGTTCTGAAAATATTTTAAAAAAGGACCAAGATCACAATTTTTTTTCGAAGTGCGCACGTGTAAAATTCAGGTGGGGATTTATTTGAGCTTTATATGGACACAGCTTTATGGAACAATAATCACTGGGTAAAGTTTTATGCAACGTTTCGACATGTTTCCCCCGTTGTCCTCAGGCACATAAACATTAATTAATGAATAAATGAATTAATGCAGCGATTTGATATGATCAGAGCCGTAGATAGCAGATGTACAAGCTCATTTGGTATAAAAGCTGATAATAAGTTAGGGGTGTAACTTGAATGCCAGCTGAAGACAAGCTGTATGGGATACGGGAATCCAAACGTTTAACCGAGAAAATCCGTTTTTGCAACAGTTTCAGCCTTACGGAAGCTGCCATCGATAGGAATGTAAATAAAAACATAGCCAGTCGGTGGCAAAACACATTCAGACTACTGCAGAACAGGTCGAGTCTCTAAATTTATATCTTGATAAAGGAAAAGAAGTAGACCTATTATGATATACATGGATATGTATACGATAATGAATACTATCAAAATTCTTGAGAAAGCTCGCTTAAAATGATTTTAAAGACGTTTTCTAAACTTCTTATGTATATCGGGGTAACTGATACCATTCCAATTTTCAGACGCTCGGTTACTGCAATTTCACTAAAACTAAGCGTTTGACGACGTTAAAAGCCCTTTGTGATAGTGCATTATAAATCGTTTATTTTAAATGGAACCACAAACGTCTAATTGAAAATTGAAATTTGCAATCCCTTTAACGTGCAATGCCTATTTAATAATGTATAAAATTAAACACTGCATATAAAAAGAGTTTATTTACAATGAGAATAGAGTATAAAAATATATTCATGAATCAAAATGATTATAATACAAAATTTAAAAAATGGAATGTAATCTATGATTTATTTAACGGAAAGCAAAGCTTATACCTTTTTTAATTTTTTAAGGTTATTGTGATCCACTTGATTCTCCTATTTATGAACTTGCCAATCCCATATAACATTTAGTACAACATAGGAAATTTCAGTATTTTATTGACTAAAAAATGTCTTAGTTTATAAGAGACTATAAAACAGCCATTAGTTAAAAGATATAGAATTAGCTTTGTCTTTCCATTTACGGTATATTTTCAAAAATAGAATTGCTTATCAAATGGACTGTGTGTTCTTTTTTTTATATATACAAAACTCTTACTTCAACAATATTACTCTACAATTTGGATATGTAAAGTTTAAAATAGGTAGTATTATTGACAGATTGTTTATATAGTACATCATGAATAAACATATATTTAATATACAGAGAAAATGGTATGATACAGAATGAACATAATTACAATGGTTCCTAATTTCATTAATTTGATTAAAAAGACAAAAAAAATGTTTTCAAATTATTTAAAAAATTCAAGCATTAATTCATTATAAAAGCATCTGTATTACTTTGCAAGTAAGTATTCTAGTATAAAGTAACATTGATTGTTAAAACAGTGTGGCTCTTCCTATTATTTACAGAACTTCATCTTAATAATAGGGCCAAAAGTTAACAATAGGGCTCTAACGATTAGTTGTGTGGCATCTCTAATTCTTTTAAAATAATCCACATAAAATAAGGTTTTAAAAAAATTTGAATCTCATTCTCTTTTGTAATGAATATTTAGGAAAATTTGAGAAAAAAAAATCTGGAAATATAGCCGAGACTTTTTGTCATGCACTTTCGTTCCGAAATTAATCAATTGCATGTGGAGGGTTAAAAGCAATGATAAATCTGTTCTATAATAATTTCTGTACAAGAAAGATGACCAATGATGTAAAAGTGGAAATTGAAAGTAAATTAGCTTTAAGATGTCCTGAAGAATTACATCCCCAATATTCATCACAGAAACAATACATGATATCTGGATTAGTTAAATCTGTAGGATTACTGGGGTCATTCTTCCGTGCTGGTAGACAGTAATTATGTCTGCGTAGTAAAGGCATCTGTAGTCTATGTCTGGTTGATTTTAATAAATTACTCTCACATTCTCTAATATAGTGAGTTTCACCTGAAAATACAAAATTATATCAATTGAAGTTTTACATCAGCATCTTATTGGGTTAATTAAGATTGGTAATACCATACAGTATGTAATAAGAGGAATTTAGTCATGAGAATTACACCAATTTCAATGGTTTGTATATCTGTAATTAACAATATGCAGCAACTAGGTGCTCAATTTCAATACAAGTTGACAGCCTTTCCAACCTCAATTACTACCCAGAGGAAACCTGATTCAAACACTGAGGTTTTAACTGAACCTATTTACCAATCTAAACTAGAACCTTCATGTTGGCAAGACAGCCCTCACTCTGTCAAGCTATTAAAAACTTCGTTATTTAAGAATGAGTTGGTAATAGCTGGACACTGTGAAGATAACAAGATAGGAACATTTGAAATTGAGACATTGTAGATCATGCAAAAACATCTTTGCACTTGAAAACTCATCCAAAAGGACTCAAAGATGTGGAATATTAAATTAATTGAAAATAAACGGCACTGAATCATGGTTTTAATGAAACAGGTAAATTTCATCATATTGAAATCTGTTAAACCTCTTCAAATAGACCATTACTAACCTCCCTTTTTAATGACAACTTTTACACAGAAATCAGAGTCACCACAGGTTCTCCATGGATACATTCTCCAGTTGACATCATCACCACATCCACCCATAGCACTGTAACATCGGTGACATAGTAGTAATCCAGAGCCTAAAATAAAATGTTAGTTATTATAGTATATCTATATATCTTGAGATTCTCTAAAACATTAGGTTTATCATGTAATACTATTGGAGTATGAAAAACCTACTTTTTATGCAGAGTGGAACATATGCTTTAAAATAGTGCTTATAAAATAAGTACTGTTTCAGCCAAGTAGGTCCTATCTCACCCGTCTTGCCACTGAATTCTACTTTTAAATCAAACCATATTCATGTTTTGTATGCAACTGACATTATGAGATATATTTGAACATATTTGCATTGTTTAGCATTAGAAAAAAATATTGAAGCTTCATTATTTTCAATCATGGATATGATAAACAATATGAGTCAGAATTTGTCACTTTATTTATCATCATTGCCAGTCATTTGAAGAAGTAAGAAATTAACATTTCTAATATATCATAACTATACATATAGAATGAATATAAATACAATCCAAATTTTGAGGATCTACATTCGAAAACTGCAGTTTTGTTTTAAATTATTAGCTTATATTAATATTTCAGTAAAATAATCATCAACATCCTGTCCCACACATTTATTTACAATGACTCAAAATAAAAATGGCGTCATAAGTTTGAATTTTTCACATAAAATGTACTAATTACAATGCAAACGCACACCTGTGGGATGAAATATACAAAATCTCAAAACCCTAGGTAATAAACCTCTTGATTAATTGAAAATTTAGAAAAGAAAACCGTCTCACCTTCTTTAAATAACGTTAAAAGTCCTAATAAAATAACCAAAATATAGGACGACTCCATTTTGGTAAGCATTCTTATCAAGGTGAAGGTCGCCTACCTGTAATCAAGTTGACAGGTGAGAGGTCAGGTATGACAAATGACTTCAATGATCGAAGGGAGATAACTACGTTTTACTTACTATTGTGAAATTACTTGTTCAACAATCCCTTTCCCGTGGTCATAATTTTCAGATAATTTGTCAAAGGATCAAGATGTTTCATATTACATTTTCTTTAAAAAAAATAGTTTTCCTTATAAACATATTGAAAACAAGTAAGGACGACTTTTAGAAATAATTGTCAAAGCTTTCATTTTCGTCATCACCTAGACGAAATCTGCTACGCTAATAGACTAGTCATCACCCTTCCTGAACACTGAATACCACTGTACAGTTTGTTTATCCCAGGGTTGAATAAAACTAATATTAAAAAATGCTGGAAATAGATAATATATTCGATAATTTCACTCGAGAATGGACAAAATTTTGACTCATCATCTATCATTTATCTCATTGGTACATTCAGAGAAAATTTATAATCGCCCCATTTCTTACTTAGAAGGCTAGGCTCGATACCAACCTATTATTAATTGGGAAATGGAATTAAAAGCTCCCGATTGGATCAATGAAATGGGGCAACATCATGTAGTGTTCAGTTAGGAAAATTGTGTCAGCACAGCGAAATAAGTCTATAGATGGATCTTTATTATGCACAGTTTATAGCGCAAAGGATTAAGGTATATTAAGATAAATTCTGTAAAATTGCTTTATACTTCCTCTCAGAATGGAAATAACATTTAAATTCTCTAACTTGGTCAATGATAGTATATATTCATTAGCTGGACATACAAGGTGCCATGACTAAAGCAAAGAATCTCTCTATATTATAAGACCATATATTCATTTAAACGAAGTAATTAATGAAACATAAGCATGTTTCATGATAGACCGAAACAACTGTCTCTATTCCAGCCTCTGATAACTATTACAAATGGTGCAGAGACAAAAAAAAATAGGCCCTGTTAAATGGAGACATTCCGTATCTCCGTATATATTTGGAAATTTTTGTTTATTTTTAGTCATACCATCATTTTCTCAATACCATTCATGTCATGTCTCCGGTTCCATCAATTTTTTTTTAACGAAACTGGTCTAGTATTGGCCGTATAAATCTGCGTGCGCATTCAAAAGTTCAAAGGTCACAGTCACTTGATATTAACAAAACGAAAGTTACGGTGATGCCAACACCAATTTACCGTTATCGTAAAGTTAATCTAATATAATGTAACAAAAAACGCATCTTCGGAGGTGTGGAAAATGCCCATTTAACAGGGTCTTTTCTTCTGACTCTACTCCAGCTGACAACTCTCAAAATATCCATCTCTGGAATAGAGGCAGATGTTTCGGACTAGTTTCATGATTACTTAGTTTGATGAATTATTACTTAGTTTTATGGATTTAATATATTATAGAGGGATTATGTTGTATAGTTATGACACCACTAATGGACAAAGACTCATTTTGGCCAAGTTTTAAAATTTCAACTTGAAACAAGTTGGTTTTAGACTGAGCTAGGGTTATATTGTGTGGGTTTATAAAAAAGCAAATAATGAACAGAAAAAAACTATTTCTCACAGATTATTAGACATAAATAATTATGATCATTTTATACTATTTCCATCTAATGATTCTATGTATTATATTCGGTACAGACATGTCCAGATGATACAATCGCTCTGTCAGGTAAATTCCGTATGTTGGAATCAAAATAACTGTCCGCAATCACATTTTGTTTTCGGTTTTTAATGAAACTTTTCGAGGACATCCCGATTTGATGAAAGTGCAATTGAAGATGTTTCGTCACTTGTTTTTTTTTACTACATGTGACTCCACTTTTCATCCATGATCTTTTGAAATTGTTCCGAATCTGTTTACGATCATCCACTCAATAACCTGTCCAATATCTATAATTATTATATGCGAGGAATCTGATATATGCACAAAAAAACATTGACATGCGTTTTCTAACATCTTTTAACAGTATTTTTCATTGGTTAGCATTAATTATGACAACTTTTGATGATATTGGGAAGAAAGTTGTCAGATCATTGTTAGACTGTACAAAACGGCATATCCAGATTCGGGGCATCCGGAAATACTCAGAATAGGTTTGGTATATACTGCGTTCACGTTGTCAACCATTTCGATCGGTTTCCAGACAGCGAAAGTAACCGAATGAGTGAATTTTGTAACTTACATTATGTATGGACCAAGCTTTATGTTGCATCCTACACAAGTACGAATGTAAAATAACGTTATTAAAGTTTATATTAGAATAATGGACCAGTTAAAATTGCACCTCCCTTGCGAACACAGCCTGCCCTAAATGGCTAACACCGTGATGCTTGGCTTATGTTTTTCTGTAGGCGGTCTTAATTACCTCAATTCATAATGTAAGCCTAATTGTTAAAGGGATGTTGATTCGCCTCCCTAATCCGCCAATAAAATGTCTCTTGTGGCCAGGGAGACAATGAGATAATCTGTACCCATTAAAAGCTGACTGGTAGAAGAATGGGGCTATATGATACCGTCAATATGGATCAAAAATCATTTTCCATTATCGAAGAGAGAAATAAAACGAACGGAATTTGAAAGCCACGACAATTAGACTTGAGCATCGTTCGGAACAGGTAAGCCATTTACTTTGTATTTGTTAAGACACTACTGCCGTTACTTTCAATGTATATGTGAACACATTGTTCACAGCACCACCAAATTCATGGTAGGAAAAGCAATACTATACTTTAAAAATTGTACTTGCTCGCATTTCGGATGAAAATAAATCACTTTTTGCCAAACTATCATCCATAAACAAAGCATAAACTTTCAACATAAAAATAGAATTGTCAGTCTTCACGAATCTGAGCACCTTTTGTCATTGATCAAGCCTAATCTGCTAGCTTTTGAACACAATACTATTTCGAGGAGGTGAAGAAGGCATACATCTAATTTTTTGGCAAACTAGCCCTTTTATGCATTGTGATTTTCTCATGGAGGTTCTTTAGTTTCCATCGCTTCATAATTGGTACAGAATTTACAAACAACAGTTGTAGTCACCAATACCGCTGATGTCATACGTTCAAATCCGGTCATGATCACAGTCGTAAGGAAAAAAGAGTTGATGGCATTGCGACGAATAAATAGCTGCTCTTATATGAATAATTCCAGCCATGCGTATCATCTGCGTCCCCTAAGATTTTTTAAATTCTTTTTACTATTACCATAAATTGTTTCAGTAATCATGTTCCCGATCCAGATACAAACCCTTACCTGTATGGTGTTTGTCTCTATATGTATATACTGTACCCAGAGTGTTATTCTGAGACCAGACTGGTACCCATATTTTCAGGATGATAAACAGGAATCTGGTAAGTCCTTTTTCCTTCAATGACCATAAACGAAGTAAGAATTTACCGGGCATCTAATGAGCTGAATATGTTGTCAATTACTTCATGCTAAGATTATTTAAATGAGTTACAGAGAGCTAAGCAATTCCGTCAGAATTTCCAGGACTTCTAATGATTCGCTTTCTGAAGATGCCACCAATTTCTTCATGCTGAAGAGTACAAATGTATTTAAACTTAAATGAACGGTAAGAGAGTTGCAGGGCATATTCGCCTTGCAGTAAAAGTTTTAATTCAAAGAAAAAGGAATGCCCTTTTAAATTAGCCTAAATAGCCCACATTTTAATAGCCAACTTAATACGACGTCAGTTGGACTTTGATTCGACCACATGCATGGTCTAGGATATGTCGGCATTTCCAATTTCATTCGTTTGTCGACGTTTAACCCTTCGGATAAACAGCATTTCCGGTTGTTTTACACTGTGTATATGCTGAAGATCCATCGAGTACCGTACAAAGGGCAAGTCTAAGCGAATATATGTTACTGTTCCACTTTTTGAGCGATACAAAGCATTGTCCATTTTCAACTACCCCATCATGGGCTGCCAAGTTAGCAATTAAAGTAGATTTAGTTCCATGTATTACTCCCTTTGCTTTTAAGGTCAAGTTTTCAACTCACGGCAAATCAGAACTGCACAACCGAGCGTCCGATGTCCTGCGGATATGACGAAGTTTGAATGTTATCACGAGCTAATGGCCGTCTGGACTCGGGTGTTAAAGAAGAACAGAAGGGAAATTTTGGAAGATGGTCTGAGTAAATTTTTTGATAAATTTCATCCTTCGTTTGGGGAAGGCGCTTTATCAAACTTCAACCCAAAGTTTCCTCCAAAACTTGAAGACCTCGTGGCAACTGGAAATGGTGGCAAGGACAAGAACTCAATTTTCAATCTGGAAAAGTGAACCAAAATGACAGTTTAAACAAATTTCATTTATAAATAAAATTTCTTGTGAATAAAACAGTTTGATATTAATAAAATTTTCTATGGGCATTTTGATCTGTAAGTTTAATTGGGATAGACGAAAGACGAATGCTTATAGAAGGCTAAAATCTGTGCAGAAGATGTTTTAAATCAGGAGAAGATGAATTGGTGCCACAGTTCGGGAACCATTTTCCCTTATAGCAGATTGGATGGTTTCTTCTGTCACAAATAACATGACAGCTTAAAGAGTTCCAGATGATTAGGCTGTTTTAAAAAAATAATCGCCTTTCTCTTTCAAGACATGGTAGCTTTGAATATAAAGCCTCCAGTTGCAATTAGAGTATGAGCGCCCTTCGATGCGACGTTTCGTACCAATTTTGTTTACATTTGAACTGATTTACTTCCCTTGGTATACATATTACTATAATACACACACCACAAGATGTAGCCAAATCAATAAGTCTTTCCATCTCCATGATGCAACCTGTGTCATTGACTATCATCCAACTGATTTGAGCTTAGATTGCTTTGTACCATTGCTTATATACAGTTCGGGTCGGGTTCCTCTTGTGATTATTATTTCATTTTCTCATTTTTTCGGGTTTTTTATTTGTCCTTTATGTTTTTGTGGTGCTTTAAAGGATTCGTTCCAATTCCAGTATTTTTTCATGCAAAAAGTTATCTGTTAACTCGGACTGAAACACCTTCATACACCATAAAAGCGTATAGTGAGTAGTGATGGGGCTGTAATTTCGAAACACTCAGTATATGGCCTACATAGCATAATAATTATGTTGCATCCCATGAAATCTTTCTGTTTGGTGGGCCTAAACTAATACATTTTTGATGACCTTTTCCTCGGAATTAATTTATTATTCAATAACTTATAACTATGGGTTCACAAATTGTTACCTTGCACCTATGTTTTATTGATTCATACACTCTCAGTAGACAATACTCAAAATGAAATGAGATACGTCACGCCGCACTAGGACTGTCAGTTGATTTTAAGTTGTTAATTCCACTCTTACAATAATAATATTGATAATTACTGTTAGCTTGTCAGAATCTAGAGAGTTAAAAAATCGAACTCTGCTGACATCCGTCAACGAAAACGACAACCGTTTGTTCTAATTAAGTCTATGAATCCGATAATTAAACGTCTGGCTGGTCGACTGTTTCTTTATGTCGACACTTTTGCCATTTGCCTTCTATATACGCGACTAGTCATCGAAGGATGTTCACTAACAAGACGACCAATAGACTGGATGGGACTGTGGCGAACCATCCCCAAAGTTTGGATCAGTGATGAAAGTCGGCTTTGCTTCCCCACCTTCAAATGTTTATCACAGACCTTCTCAAATGGCGGCCTGCGGGCCAAACCCGGCCTTCGACGCCCTCAAGAGTGGCCCGAGGACGTACTACAAAACTATATAAAAAATTATAATTCAAAAATATAATTTATGAAATTCATAACTATAATTTATGAAATTCATAACTATAATTTATGAAATTCAAAAATAATGAAATAATATAAATAGAACAATAATAAAAAAATTTACGGCACCGCCCCAATTAAATTGTGGTCATGACCTATCCCCCTAAACTTCTGGATATCTTTCTTTGTTCATCTCAAACCAATAGGCATTAGAGTATGCAGCATGTTTACCTCAACATGGCAATGCGAGCCAGTATTTTCCTACATGAACATGGCACAGAGCAAAACAAGAAGAAGTCTCTCACTTGACCATTTGGACCAGATTTTACGGATTGCTACTACTTCAATTACGCACGTCTTCAAGAAACTCGCCTTAGCTGCAGCGTCTCACCATTTAAGCCACTAACCCTGTCATTATTTTGATTTGACTAATGCACTTGTTCTATGCTTATTTGAAGCAAAATTAGTGCTAAAACTGTGTAAAACCTTAGAGTTTCCGGGCCCCTGAACACCACCCACTAAAACACTCCGCTCGCTTCGCTAGCTGAGCTTTATTTGGCCCTTCTATTTCATTCAAAAAGTGCATTTGGCCCTTTACAAAAATTAATTGAGAAGGCCTGCTTTATCATTTAACATTGTGAAAGAAAGGTTTGTGTAAGGTGCAATGCCCAAGATGTCGATATGGTAAGTTTTGGACTTGGATGCATGGCAATAAACTCTAACAAAACCAAGCCATTGTTTTCTGCTCAGAGCTGAATCAAGATAAGTTGTTGAATTCTGTTGATGTCAATTAGTGCTGTCTTTCTATCGACAAGATCAATTTCACCCTACCATTGATTTGACATAAACTACGTCAGCTTCAAGCTTCAACACAAACAATTGTTAATCTCGCCCTGTACCTAGTTACTGAGTTATGTTGTGTTAATTGCACACCAATATTCAATAAGAGAAATCTAATGTCTTTTTATTGATAAAGTTGTTGATTGCAAGTTTTAACTCTTTAATTCTCGGATTAGAGTCCTCTATCGTACAGCACGTTCCTTCCTTTCTTCACGTGTTCCGCCTAAACCGGAAATAGCTAAATGACGTAAAATCCGGGAATCGCACCGGACCGAGGAAAATTACCAAGGTGCACTTTTGGTTGAGTGCAGAAACATTGTAATTAGAGCTGTGATGTTCAAATTTAGGCAATATAGATTTAAAAACTCCAATAATAAAATATTGTCACTGTTAAAATAGTGTTCACTATCCTACATCAATTGTAAAGCGATATAGAAATAGAAAGAATTAAACAGAACCTACAAAAAACATGTTGTTACTCATTCGCAACCTATATTAACTGAAAAGCTTTACATCATTTATATGGAGGTATAACGTTGCTAAAATTGTCGATTGTGTTGAAGCTTTAAAATACCAATGTCGTCATTACAAAATGTATTTGTCAATGCTGCAAAGTACAATTGTAAATGCAAAATGTATGAATATTTTCCAAAATCCAATACACTTCGGTGTATTCAGTGGTACCAGATGTAAAATGGGTTTGGATGGCCAGTTTCTGTTGCAGAAGTCGTCGGAGTGACTGGTAGGACCAATGAATGTACTGCCAATTCTGGTTAGAGGTGAATCTGGTTTAGGTTGAGGAGGTTGAGGTTAGGTAGTTAGAGTTGGTAAGTTTGTAACCTTATTGGTGAGATAGAGAGGGTATTGGTTGTTGAGGAAGGACTACTTTGGGGTGATTGACTTCATCTGTGAGGTATTCTGGGCTGTAAATGGAGTTATAATGGCAAGGGCGGACATGATGTCGGCTTTGGTTTGGACGGGGGTGATTGGAGTCTGCATGGATGTACCTGTAAATATATGGGTGGGTTTAGACCAGAGCGTACCCCATGGGCTCTTCGGTCTGCGGTATCTTCAAAATCTCTTGGCAAATTGGTGTCAAATTTGGTCTTTAGAAAAGACAAGAGCTCATGCTTAATTTGGAAACATTGGATCGCTAAATCATTCTTTGGCTACGTTTGAACCAAAATATTATGTCGGCAAAACATGTGGGCGTATAAAAACGATAAATGAAGAATATGTTGTAGAATATATTTATTGTAAATGTTCTATTATCTAGGAGAGATGTCGATATTAAAATAAAGAGATTAAGTTTTAGAGTATATTATGTTATTAACACTTGTATTGTATATCACAGAAAAAAACTACCTTGTCAACTCGGAAATATAACTGATAAGACTGAACTAAGGATTGTCGGGTTACAAGATCTCCCATCGATTCACCTGTATTTTTTACATTCTAATCAATCCCTTTTATTGAATTTTGTAATTCAAGTCAAAACATCAAATAACATTATTGTTGCGATTCATTAAGACTGTGCTAGTCTTCAAGAAACACAATGATAGATATCATAAGTCGATGACCTTGATTGGTCGGATTTGAACCAATGGAACTGCTCTGGTTCACGTTGAAGTGCTGAAATCACAAACTGTCTGATGACGCACTGTATACTATATATTTATCAGTTATCTTTCGCCCATATCTGACTTATGTGGCTTTTTGCCCCTTTTCGTTAGCCCGGTTTTGTGAGGTTCCAAATCTTATTTAAC